TGATAAATAATTAAAGAAGATACATAAAATATTTGATGTCACTAAAATTCTTTATCATGCATTTGGATATGATTTTGTATTCTTGAAATGTACGAGACCGATGTTGGAACGGAAGAGATATGCTGGTCAAGTAACAAAAATGGCGCTTTCCGAAAAGAAATCTCAATTTATGAGTTGAATGAGAAATTTACAGTAAGTAACGAAACATTTACAAGAGAATAACAAATGGCAAGAAGTGATATTAACTCCTTTTATGTTTGTGTATGGGCTAGAGGTTACACACAACCAAATGTTTTCCCATAGACTTCTATAGTAACGTTTTAATTTTTAAAAATAATTAAGCATTCAACAGCTATTACCTGTACGTATATGCACAGTTTGGCCTTAGAGCAGCAATAAAAACAAAAAAATGACCAGCTTTGCCAGCTCGAGTACAGGAAGCTATACACACCACCCCCATTTCCACACCAAATGTCACCAACTTGTAAATATCTGTGGCCACATTCAGCATAAATCGTCATGTTGAAAAAGACAGTACTAAATATAGAAAAGCATGGTAAGTTTTAATAACTGGATGGATGTACATTTAAAAGACATAAAAATCTTTCACAATATCATTCAATCACAGCTTGCAGATATCTCTCGATCTGCACTGAAAACGGCATAGTCACAACTGGTTCTGATTTAGTGCAGTTGAACCTGAACACTTATCATAAAGGGGAGATAATTTGCAGGGAGGTAATTTTTGTGTTAATGACAATAATTTCATCAAAGTGTTATGTTCACTGCAGTTAAATATCAAGTGTTATCTTCACTGCAATTAATCTATCTGTTTTTTCAACTTCAGAAAACTCAGTCTTTCACACTGATGTATATTATACAATTTCTGGCCATGATGATAATTTACAGTTTCCTTTCCCAGTGACCTTGAATTGATCCCATTTGACATATTTATCAATCAATTGATTGGGATGCATTAGCATGATTCCAGCATTTCCTTAACCTGTGTGTTAATAATAGGATTGTCTGTTGCTGTATCTAACAACGGATCGTTAATCTCATCTCCACATTGATTATTCATATCTTGTGCATGACTGCCTGCCTGATGCTACTGACATGCCTCATATTGTGGACTATGGAGTGGCCCTGATTTTTATGTGTGCCCATGGAGATTCCTGAGTACAATAGATCCCCTGTACCTGGTAATCAGCCTCTGGAAAAACATTTTGAATATTTTAGCCAGAAAAAGCACATTTGCATTATAATTTCATATAATTCTAAAGAACTATATTGATTTTTTGTTTTGCTGAGCTCACCAGACCAAAATGATTTTACTTGACTTAAAACTATAGGTATAATTGAAGACTGTAGTATGCAAGCTTGTCCGAGTTTTTGTAAGGGTTTGACTTTCTCAGGAATTCTTCACATTTAAACATGGTGCTGGTGAGAGTGTATGCACTGTCAGTGGACAAGCTGTCTGAATCAGCCATTACCTTCTCAATGCTATAGGCACCTTGCATGCTGCCCACAACTTGCTCCTGGCCTTCTCTGTATGCATGATGCATGAACCTGGATCTAATCATTTTCATTCTCCTTAGATGTATAGGTACATTTGTGATGTATTATGAATGAATCTGTTCCTCGCAGTGGAGATTCTGACAGTCTCCGCTGTAGTTTTCATCACCAGCTTATCCATTTTATGTTTACATAAATGACTGAAGACAAATATTTTATATTAGGCAAAAGTATAATCGGGAAGTGTTTCTCGGCATCGATGAGTCACTTTATTTTTCCAAAATTCCCATGTCATTTGAAACAGACTGTTGGCCAGCCATCTGACATTATGTAAAAGAGCCACGTACAATACTGCCCAGTTGTGTTTGTTGGTGTTCTTGGTGGGGATAAAAGTAAACAGTGTTCCTCCTTCGTCACTTTTTCAATAAATTAAGAAATAAATTCTGCCTCCCTCTTCACTTTTTAGAAGAATGTGACAGGGAAGCTATATTTTTTTTATAATGCAGCCTTCCATGGTTGTGATATTTTAGTTAAAAACTGATTTTGTTTCATGTCGTCACCATTCGTGTCATCCATCATGTTTTAGAACTCAACGAGAATGAAGACTATTTGGTCACTGTGGGTTGGAAAAGGTCCACAGCACTCTGTTGATTGTGTTAGAGGCAAATACATTGGATTGGGTAGCCAATTTTTAAACTTTTTTTTTGCATGTCATTGTACCCTGCTGCATGGATAATATATCAGCCACTTGTCTGGCTAAGACTTGGATTATTTACAGACCAATATTCCTGGAATATTGTTGATTTTAGTTTGGAGTTAAGCATGGATCGTGCTTGCAGCTTGCGCCACAGGCTTCTGGGATAGTGCTGACTTAGACATGTTCTTGTTGATCATTGATGTATACATTCCAAATGATAAACATGAACACTTGCTGAAAACCCATCATCTGTGCATCCGCTGAAAACCAATCATCTGTGCAACCGCTGTATCTCCAAACCCGCGAAGATCCGGGAAGGATAGGTCTTCAGCAACCCATGCTTGCCTTAAAAGGCGACTATGCTTGTAGTACGAGGCGACTAACGGGATCGGGTGATCAGGCTCGCTGACTTGGTTGATGCATGTCATCTAGGGCTGCAACGATACAGGAAGGTCACGATACGATACGCATCTCGATATTCTGGTCACGATACGATACGTATCTCGATACGCAATGATAAAAAAACCAACAAGACTTAAAGCATGTCAAGAGTGAACCTTTCATGATTTTGGAACAGTCAAAATAATTTTATAATAACAAGACTACTGGAGTTGTTAAGCTTCAAAGTGGAACTTTCCCTCACTTTCCTTCAAAACAATTCAAAGTTCAAACACCAGAAAATAATTAATGTACTTCACCAGTGATACAACTTCAAAGAATTTTGATGCAATGGTCGAAGAAATTGTATCTGAATTATTGTTTTATCAGGAATAATATATTCCAATATTGTGTTACTTTAGTTGCAGCTTTTACTATATATATATATAAGAACCACAAGCGTAGCATTTTGGTACTGGTGATTGCTGTTGCAGGATATTTTTATGTATGGAACAATTTGACCAGTCAACTTAGGGACTTCCCGCGCAACATGTATGTATGCAAAAACGTTATGTTGACATATATTAGCCAAATTGCCACAAATATGAATTTTAAGGAGTCAAAGTATGGCATTTTTAATATATGTATCCATTCTCTAGCAACTGAAGTTCGTTTCAATGCGTCAAAACAAGTAATCTGACCGTGGTTGCTGGTATCTATTCGAACAAGATTTCACCTAACTTAATGAAGACAATATTAAATGAAATTTTGAATAAAATTAATAAAATATATTACAAACACAAGTCCATATATACAATGAACACGTTTTAATAACAAGAAATTATAATATTGGTATTGATTTGCGTACTTTAGTTCAGATTTGCTGACTGGTATTTCAGGTGTTATGTGCTTGCGGTGATCAGCTGATAATGATTTTTGAGATGGGGAAAAACATCTGTCAGTGTAAAATCTGAGCTTATTAAAAATGTAACTATGATTTTGGGAGCCATGCGCGTGCTATAACCAATTTAGCGGTTTATTGAAAGGCACAATAGCGAGAAAACGCTGTACTTGAGATTTGCTTTCCGTATCGTGGCGTATCGATAAATGGGTCCACGTGTATCGTATATGGTATTGTGGGTCAAGTATCACGATGCATCGGATTATCGGTGTATCGTTTCACCCTTAATGTCATCTATCCCAATTGCCTGGGTCAATGCTCATGATGTCAATCACTGGAATGTATGGTCCAGACTCAATTATTTACAGACCGCCGTCATATAGCTGGAATATTGGTGAGTGCGGCGTTAAACAACAAACAAACAAAACAAACTGTATCTCTATACATACCCATACCCATGGTTCTTGCGATCTCATATTACAGGCCTTTGATTTCATTTTGCTAATTTGATTGGCTCTGGGTCTAGCATAACAATCAGAATGTGAGTTACAAACTCAATGTTGAGTTGGCAATATAAAAGACATGGCGGCCAGTCTGATTGATTATGGTTGAATTTTCAAATTTAACATTGAAACACTCATTGACACACAAAAAGAAAGCCCTCAAAAACCTTTTTGATGGAAAGGATGTCTTCATGTCCCTTTTGGACTGGTGGTGGCTTTGGTTTCGTAGTAATACGTGTTAACTCCCTTTCCCTATTGTCCCGGTTTGAGTGGTCAGTAAAATGTTAATGACAATCAAGGGCGGGTAATTTGCAATCGCAAGAACCATGGAGGTTTTTGTTGGTTTACTGAAATGTGAGCCCTGGAGATAATAGTGGTTAAAGCGTTCACTCGTAACGCCGAAGACCCGGGTTAGATTTCCCGACATGTGTACAATGTGTGAAGCCCATATCTGGTGTCCCTCTCCCGTGATATTGCTGGAATATTGCTAAAAGCGGCGGAAAACCATACTCACTCACTCACTCTTGTCCCAATGTGACAATTCCTGGAACATTAAGGTTCCACATGCCAGGATTGTAAAACATGGTAATGAATTTCATGGTGGCATGGCTGGCTGCTGACGCTATCACTGGTCTGTCATCATTGAGGGGCTATGGGTTAGCCTTGTGGTTATTGCATTCATTTGTCATACTTGTCACACCGAAGGCTTGGGTTCGAATTCGAAGTCTGGTGTCCCCTGGTGTGACATTACTGGAATATTGTGAAAAGTGGACTTTGTGAATGTCACATTTCAAGCAAGAAAAAAGCATGGTTAACATATTGCAATTTGAGTGATTACATCAATTTTGAAAAACGTACTCATGATCATATTGGTGAAATATGGAGCTCATGCCTTGTTTGAACATGTTGAATTGTTTATGAAATAATTGCATAACCTTATGTGAAATCATGCTTATTTGAATTTGTTTTTTGTTATGTGGTTAATATCCAACTTCTCTTTTTACAGATTCCATGAAAGAAAAAGAAGTTTTACAAGAAAAGTGTGAAAATGACAGAGTAAGTGTTTTCCTTCTTGAAGTCTTTTGAACCAAATATGAATATAACGTCAAGAAGATGAATAAGTTTCTTTTGGAGAAGGTCTTGTTGTTATATGGATTCAGAATCACTGAAATGCTGTTAGTTGTTTCATACTTCATGTTAATCAATAAGTCCTCATTAAACATGCAGAATATATTTAAGCATCAATGATGGCAACTTTTGTTCACTGGTTGCCATCGTTGACATTTTAAGCTGTTGACTACAAATCCTGGTGAGCTACAATCTCATTCAAACCAGTTCTTAGTTCTCGCTACCGCTAAACAAAGATCTGAGGGCATCCCAGTACGGGTCATGTCAGACCGACCTTGAGCGAACTTTGACAGACCAATGGAATGACCAATCAGAAGTCAGCTTTCTCGTGCTTTACAGCACTAACTTCAAATTGGCGACTACGCTTCGAAACATATTTTGACAAATTCTCGATTTAAAATTTGAAACCTGAACAAAAGAACATTGTGGAATGGCTAATAGATAGTCTAGATTGGATGGATTCAGTCGTTAAACCCGTAACTATTGTTCGGAATACCCCATGTTAAAGTTTTCGAGGTTGCATGATTCCGACTGTCACTGTCATGATCTGGTAAGCGACGCTCTGATTGGTTGGATGAAAGGTCATTCTGACGTGACCCCTAATGGGATGTCCTCAGATCTTTGTTTAGCGGTAGTGAGAACTAAGGTCTGATTTTAATAAGATTGGGTGAGCTAAAGTGCCATTAAGACCTTAAAAATTAAGTTTACCTGGCTGATTTACATCTGATAAAGCTCATATTAGCTGTGATAAAGCTGACTGGCTAATTTGAGATATTGCTGGAATATGGCTGACTGTGTCATGAAACACTCACTCACTCGCTCACTCGCTCACTCTTGCCATCAGGTGATGGTGAACTGGACTGGTGGTTGTGGGTAGCACAATCTGTATATCGACCTACCGCCAAAAGAAATGCGAATACCCTACATGTTTGTTAATATATGAAGAATTACTCACATTCAAGAGATAATAGATTGGTTCGATGCACAAACGCACACACTGTCGTGTTGTGTGAACTGACCATGAACGCATCACATGTGGCGTCACAGATCCGTGACGCAGGATGCACCATTTGTCTCATGCAGGATTAGAGTGTAAATTTGGAAATCATGAGCAGCATATGGTGATAAGGCGACCTTTTTTTTATTACTTGGTTTACGGATACGCCGCTCTTTCAAAGTCCAAATGTTGAAAAAATACAAATACAAATCACTCCTCTTTTTTTTATTGCCACCGATCTTTACTACACGAGTGTAAACCAAAAGGAAGTCCATCAAAGCTTGTCAACGCAAAGCGCAGTTTAATCATTGCCCATATTGTGCACAAGCTGAGCATGCTGAGTGCCAGGGATATCATAAAATGTTCTTGAAAAATTGAGTTATTTTACTTTTGTTACTCCAGAATATTTTTTTTTCATACCTACCTAACTTTTTAGGACAAAAAGCAAGTAAAAAAATCGGAGAGGCCTACCTCACTTTTGAAATCCGTAAACCTAGAACTAAAAAAGTGAATAAAGACACTCTGTGGTAAGACTTAGGTTTGTCATTAAGTGGTACACATTGGAATCATCTCTTCTTAATGCACATACTTTTCAAAATGTGTCTATGATTCATGTTTCTTTTGGTGGTGAGTATATTTAACCCAGTGAGCCCGTGAAGATCTGGGGTAGAACAGGTCTTCAGCAACCCATGCTTGTCGTAAAAGGCGACTATGCTTATAAGGGGCGACTTACGGGATCGGGTGGTCAGGCTCGTCATCGTATTGCTTGGATCGATGCTAAAGATGTCATTCACTGGATTGTCTGGTCCAGACTCGATTATTTACAGACCGCCTTCATATAGCTGGAATATTGCTGAGTGTGGCGTTAAAAACAACAAATAAACAAACAAACAAATTTATGCCAGTGAGAAGCTTGATTGCAGTATATTTGAAGTATTTGCTTCCTTTTACAGCAAGAGTTTGTCAACAGACTGAATTCTTTGAATTCTCAACATAAGATGCTGAAGGTGAGATATGCTTTGTTTGAATGTTAGAAGGAGAGAGTAAATCTCGTCAGTAGCATTGGCCTGTAATTTATTTTATTTCGATATATTCAGGGCTTGAAATTATAAGTGCCACCGTGCGCACAGCACCCATAAAATAAGAAATGGCACGCTTGAATTTTATCATGTTTTATGTACAGTGCATCGTGGGCATGGTCATTTTCATTAAAAGTACTTACATTAATGTTTACTTTATGTCTTGACAAAATCAAAGTGAGTAATGAAAGAGTCTTCCCAATTAGTTGCATGTTCCACTATCGCTAAACAACTTCCTGTGATAAAATCAATCTGCATTACTCAGTGATTTTCATCAACTGGATCTTACATTGGAATATACTTGCTTCTTTCTGTATTTTGACAGAATATCATGAATATTACGTTGGCTTTGTGTTTGAATGTAATGTCGTCTTTCTGTATTTTGATGTAATATCACGAATATCATGTACACATGATGTAGGTCTTGCGTCTCAAACGGAAGTGGTTATATCGTGTTGTCTGATGTGAAAAATCTAGCAGACGAAAAAACTTGCCAGTAATAAGTGAACACGTGACTTGTTAGTGATAACAAATTCAATCCTGATTAAGATATCATTATGGTTCTAATCAGCTCCTACGTATGTCCCATGAAAGAAGTTGGTGAGTATATAAGTAAGCATAATACACACGTGATGATCTCTCTATGCTATACCACATAACATTTGGGTCACTCAACATTTGATCTAATGGATTAGCTGCCTGTTGCTGTAATTATTGTGTAACATGGACAAACCTAAATTCAAAATAGCACACCTGAAAAACAGTTCCAGTGCCATTGGGCACACCTGATATCTTTCTAAGTTCAAGCCCTGATATATATATTTAATTCAGTTCTGTAGACATGGTAGATGATGTTAAATAAATTCCTATAAAGCTTGCGTTGTAAGAATTAAAACTAGCAACATTTTTAATGGAGACTAGACTGCAACAAACCGAGAGTTGTGGTCTGCAAGATTTACTGTGCTTGGTGTCAATGAAACTGACATCAGTACGATGACTGCTTTGTGGGGATTGCGTCTTCTTTAAAATTTGTGTGGCTGTTTCTCTTTAAAGTGTGCACATTCCATAGTTTGGTTACCATGGTTACTCTCAGCTTCATTTCTTTGGTAGGCCTGTTAAGGCGATGTAAAACTTTACTCATTCGTTCACTCATAATGTTTTGAACTGAACCACTGCACATATTACAAAAGTTAGAACAGTTGTAATAGAATGAACTTTGCAGTGTTCATTTCAGAATGCAGCCTTTGGGATTTCTTCTACTAAAATTCCTTATGGCACAATTGTACCTTCGACTATTCTTTTATTCAACACTAAGTTTCTTCAAGGCAGGGGTGATTGGGCCCTACGTTTCCAGTTTCTGAAATGAACACTGACATTGCATTTATTATGCCAGCACATTGTCCCAGTAAAAGATAATGTGTCAAGAAGAAACCCTTGACCTCTGACATGGGAAACTTCAGGGAAGCTGATTATGCTACAAAGTAGTTAACATTGTGTAAATGCAAGACAAAGTTGTCTCAGATATAGAATGGAGGAAACTTGACCATGTGCCTCATTGTTCTAGGGTCAGCATGATGAACTGGAGGCAGAAAATGGCCGGCTGCAGCAGGAGATGCAGAAAGCACGAGATGACAATGCCAATGTGGAGTCTCAGCATCGACAGGAGTTCAGTCAGATGAAGCAGGAGAAGGAGCTGGATATTGCCAGCCTCAGGGGTAGGGAAATATAGGGTTATCTCCCTGACATCCTCTAATCCAGTTTGTATTATGCTTTATTACCCACGTGGTGAAGATACAGGTGGTAAGATACTAAATCCGTACGTCACACGTGTGTCGTACAAGGTTGACCTTGTTTTATCCGTTTTGATTGGATAACCGTGACCTCTGTCACACCGGGACTACTTTTTTCATTCATAAAAAATCGTCATTCATTTTGAAACTACAAGGCAGAACTGAAGAAATAAATGAGAACGAGAGATATTTACAAACACTTTATTAAACCAAACAAAATAGTCACAAGCATCAAATTCGGTTTGCATTATACATAAGTTATGCATGGAGCTTCTACAGACATTATATAATCGAGCTATATCCATTTACAATGTACGACTACCGATCAATAGAGCGAGGGTCCCCATGAGCGTGACGCACCCGACAACTTTCGCAACTTTCAATTTGATTGAACGTAAAAGGATAAGCGTGGTGAAATGAAGTCTGTTTAAACTATCTGGACAGATATTTAGACTTACTTGGGATGGTCTGGTTGTGCCACCAGTGTCCCCTTCGAAGGGTATTTTGTGGCGCTGTTACGGGAGGTGTTGTTCATGAATGAACGTACACGACTGCACGACCAAGATCATTAAAAGTGAACAGTTCTGATACAAATAATTCGAAAACTACGTGGAAGTGTGCCTGACTTCTGATTTTGTGGCCCCAAACATCCCAAATGTGAACAATAACATTCCCTATCTCTAACTAAAACGCTGTGAGTAGGCCTAGATCACGGTTGTCTTTTCTTATTCCGATGGTGACCTTGCCCTTCGATCGTTCGAAGCTGTCACTGACATGCAAGCAGACTTGAGTTTGTTGATTTTCACGTCTTCAGTACAGTTAACATGAATGTCTTAGGCGAACACTCGGATTTCCCTCTTCCAAAATGGTACGAACATGATATAAATTCAGCTGATAGATCAAGGAAACCGAACCATTTTGATTGAAAAGACGGGACACCGGCAGTGCGAGTGACCGACTGTTAATCCGATATTCATATCGCGGCGCTAATGTGACTTTTCCATTTTTCATATAGGTGTCCTTCGTACTAGCAACATGGCCCTTGAATTACCGTAGTTGAAGAATGTCTTCCAAAAGGATCTTGAGCGTCGGTGTTGTTTTGTTTGCAAACACAACTGCAGGCGCATGTTGTTAATGCGTATGCATAGAAATGTCAACAATGCCCATATTTGGGCATATATCAATATTCATGCGAAACCAGATTTTGCAACCGGTTTCAGTTTGGTCTGTCAACGAACGAAAGTTGTTATTTATTTACACTTGAATATATTTTTAACGTAGGTAATAAATAAAATACCACACTCATTCTCGTTAGATACCATTTTTACGAAACGAGTGGACTTTCTATGGTATCTGACCTCGCTTTCGCTCGGTCAGATACCATAGAAAGTCCACTCGTTTCGTAAAAATGGTATCTAACGAGAATGAGTGTAGTATTCTCTATAGATATTGCCAGCCTCAGAGGTATGGAAATATAGGGCAACCTCCCCTGAAATCCTCCAACCCAGTTTGGATTTTGCTGGATTTTGTTGGATTTTGACAGCCTCAGGGGTGGGAAAATATAGTGTTATCTCCATTGACAACCTCCAACCCAGTTTGGATTTTGCCAGTCTCAGACGTAAGAAAATATAGTGTTATCTCCATTGACAACCTCCAACCCAGTTTGGATTTTGCTGGAGTTTGCCAGTCTCAGGCGTAGGGAAATATACTGTTATCTCCATTGACAACCTTCAACCAAGGGGAAATGTACTTGAGCTTTAACTTGGGACAGAGAAAAATATTACCTCAATACTTGCGTCATGACCTCATTATTGCAAAAAAAGTGTTTTCATGGCAACAAAGATTTAACCACATGATGACTAGATCTGACCAATGAATGTCTTATCAATGTGATCAAAGAGAAGACTGAAGGAACAATGAATAATCCAAATGTCTACTTATACAACAGGGATTCTATGATTTCTTATGATATCTTGTGATGTTACACTGCTGCATTATGGGTATTCATGTTACAGATCAGATCGCCAACATGCAACGGCAGAATGACAACCTCCAGAACGAGATTTCCAGTCTCAAGGCCCAGCTGGAGAATAGCCAGGTAAGGTCTGAATGGACTGGCAAGGGAAGTAACCCTGGCTTGTTTCCACCCGGTGGAGACAGAGAAATGTAGAGTGCATGTCAGGTGATATGATTTCATGAATTTGGATTTGTTCTTTGCTTCACAAGCTGAACGATCGATGGCATTAAGCAGAAAATTGATTGTTTGGATAGTGTGTCTCACAACAGCTAAGAAATACATATCTATTCTTTCTTCATGTTTCTATTGCTAACAACAGCTTTATGAACACCATCCTCTCACTCACTCCACTTGCTACAAAAGCCAGAACACATTACTTGTTTTACTGATTGTTTTTGTGAAATCATTTAATGTAGGACAGAGTTCATGTGATTTTCTCCCCTTGTGAATCCAATTTTTGGGGGTGGTGGGGTGAGATGTATTTGGCAATTTGTAGAAAAATAATTGTAAAACAAGTACTGGTAACTCGTTTAGCCTAGTGTAGACTTTGTTTTACTAAAAATGTGTGTTTTTATTTTGTTTTTTGTTGCTTTATATTATGACTCATGTTAAATACTCAATGTAATCCTTTAACATTGTATTTTTCTCATTTGACAATTTAATTTTCTGTACACCCGGCTTTCAGAATGATTTGTAGCTATTTCTTCAGAATTCTGCTCCTTGCTTCCCCTCAGCCTGTATACAAACATAGATATTGGTGGTCAGCCAAGCAGTATCTGGAGTTAGGGGCAGTGTACATGTTCACCTGGACCAGAGGTTTAGGTGAACTTACTGCATGGAGTGTTGTCTGCATTGCTTTCTGGGTTGCACTATATATCCCCGGCAACCTCCACTGGTCACATGTGGCGACTGCATGACATGGTGACTGGTGACCGAATGACTTTGTGACTGGAGACTGAGTGACATGGTGACTGGCAAGTCAATTACATGACTGGAGACTCAATGACATGGTGACTGGCGACTGAATGACATGACTGGAGACTGAGTGACATGGTGACTGGAGACTGAATGACATGACTGGAGACTCAATGACATGACTGGAGACTGAGTGACATGGTGACTGAATGACATGGTGACTGGAGACTGAATGACATGGTGACTGGAGACTGAATGACATGGTGACTGGAGACTGAGTGACATGGCGACTGAATGACATGGTGACTGGAGACTGAGTGACATGGTGACTGGCAACTCAATGACATGACTGGAGACTGAATGACAGTGACTGGAGACTGAATGACATGGTGACTGGAGACTCAATGACATGACTGGAGACAGAATGACATGGTGACTGGCGACTGAAGGACATGGTGACTGGCGACTGAATGACATGGAGACTGGCAACTCAATGACATGACTGGAGACTGAATGACATGATGACTGGCGACTGAAGGACATGGTGACTGGCGACTGAATGACATGGAGACTGGCAACTCAATGACATGACTGGAGACTGAATGACATGGTGACTGGCGACTGAAGGACATGGTGACTGGCGACTGAATGACATGGTGACTGGCAACTCAATGACATGACTGGAGACTGAATGACATGGTGACTGGAGACTGAATGACATGGTGACTGGAGACTGAATGACATGGTGACTGGAGACTCAATGACATGACTGGAGACAGAATGACATGGTGACTGGCGACTGAAGGACATGGTGACTGGCGACTGAATGACATGGAGACTGGCAACTCAATGACATGACTGGAGACTGAATGACATGGTGACTGGCGACTGAAGGACATGGTGACTGGCGACTGAATGACATGGAGACTGGCAACTCAATGACATGACTGGAGACTGAATGACATGGTGACTGGCGACTGAAGGACATGGTGACTGGCGACTGAATGACATGGTGACTGGCAACTCAATGACATGACTGGAGACTGAATGACATGGTGACTGGAGACTGAATGACATGGTGACTGGAGACTGAATGACATGGTGACTGGCGACTGAATGACATGGAGACTGGCAACTCAATGACATGACTGGAGACTGAATGACATGGTGACTGGCGACTGAAGGACATGGTGACTGGCGACTGAATGACATGGAGACTGGCAACTCAATGACATGACTGGAGACTGAATGACATGGTGACTGGCGACTGAAGGACATGGTGACTGGCGACTGAATGACATGGTGACTGGCAACTCAATGACATGACTGGAGACTGAATGACATGGTGACTGGAGACTGAATGACATGGTGACTGGAGACTGAATGACATGGTGACTGGAGACTGAATGACATGGTGACTGGCGACTGAATGACATGGTGACTGGAGACTGAATGACATGGTGACTGGCAACTCAATGACATGACTGGAGACTGAATGACATGGTGACTGGAGACTGAATGACATGGTGACTGGCAACTCAATGACATGACTGGAGACTGAATGACATGGTGACTGGAGACTGAATGACATGGTGACTGGAGACTGAATGACATGGTGACTGGAGACTGAATGACATGGTGACTGGCAACTGAATGACATGGCGACTGAATGACATGATGACTGGCGACTGAATAACATGGTGACTGGCGACTGAAATGACATTGTGACTGGAGACTGCATGACATGTATACTGGCGACTGAATGACATGTATACTAGTGACTGAATGACATGGGGGCGGTCGGGTAGCCTGGTGGTTAAAGCGTTCGCTCGTCACGCCGAAGACCCGGGTTCGATTCCCGACATGGGTACAATGTGTGAAGCCCATTTCTGGTGTCCCCCGCCGTGATATTACTGGAATATTGCTAAAAGCGGCGTAAAACCATATTCACTCACTCACTCACTGAATGACATGGTGACTGGCGACTAAATGACATGGTGACTGGCGACTGAATGACTTGGTGACTGGCAACTTAATGACATGCTGACTTGGTTGTCAAGCCCTTTGACGTTGACCTTTGATTGTTGCTCATAATATCAAAACATTGAGTGTATGGGACAGGTTCGATTTTTTTTTTTTTATATAGGGCACTTATAGCTGAGTGCTGCATTAGACATGTACAAACAACAAATATAACTCGTCTCTCTGTAAAGTTTGTTCTTCTTTTCCAAAACACCTATTTGAATGGGTCTGAGACTTTGAGGATGTCTAGTATTGTAATAGGACTTAAAAACCATTAAGGCATAAAAAAGTAACATTTGATTGAGTGGTTGCAATATGTAACATGCCTGGCTCCAGGTCATTGAAACCTGATGGTGTTGATTGTTGGTCATGCTGTCAGTCACTAGTTTGCCTATCCCAGAGACTCTATATTGCCAGGCACCCCTGATATCGCTGGAAATTGCAAAATTAAACCTTTGCGACCTACCTAATGTGATTTGTTGTACCAAAGAAGCACTTTAGAATGGCAATAAAATAAACAAATCGATAAAAAGTAATATTGGACATAAAGCAATGAAAGCAATGGGGGGGGGGAATGGTAGGGTAGCCTAGTGGCCTAGTGGTTAAAGCGTTTGCTCGTCACGCCGAAGACCCTGGGTACAATGTGTGAAGCCCCTTCTGCTGTCCCCCACAGTGATATTGCTGGATAGTTGCTAAATGTGTAAAACCATATTCACTCTCTGAAAGCAATGGTGAGCTACAGTGCTTTGGTGCCATTTTTGAAATGTGGAGTAAATGTTGCAGTTTTGGTTGACCAGTCATAATGTCCACCCATTGTCCCTGACCTTTGACCTTTGACCTGACTGGGTTTCTCTCTGTGTAGAAACAGTTAATAGTGGACCAGGGTACTGTACGACGCCTGGAGCAGGACATCTCTAGCTACAAGGTGCCAGTTGTTGGTTTATATGAGTGTCTGTTCAACCTTCCTAGGCAATGACGATATTGCATGATTATTGATTTCTTGTCCTCAGCACTGTATGAGGCATGAGTTTGATTGCCCCTTTAAGTTAGATGATATAAGACTAAATGCGGAGACTTTATACAAGAAGTAATTAAAAATAATAAGATCAGTAAGGAGCATGAATTTTGTTTGTGATATGAAACATTTTAAGGATGTGTCCATCGTATTTGTTAAGATACAGTATTTCCTGGAGAGATTACCTTTACAAAATCCCCACGAGGATTTCATTGAAATATTAACCAGGCCCTCTTGCACTAAGCGACCTTGGCCCTACATGTTAGATTGTTGTTACGCTATGATTACAAGTCGACCCTGTCAGCAGCAGAATTAGTGGAGTATCAGATAGTAATTAATCTGCTCCCAATTTCATCAGAAATGTGAGAAGGATCTTGACAGATGATCTGGATGAGGCTCCTGTTTTAACCATGAGGTCACTTTTGTACTTTTGTTATCTTTATAATGTTGTGACACAATAATGTTAACGGTATCTGTGCCCTACCGAAATGAAATGCCAAGGAAGGATATAGCTCCTATTATTAGAATAAGAGCTAATTTTGAAATATGACATGCATACATGTTCACATTATAGCACATAGAAATCGCTATTGGCAAGGGGTTGACAAGTCTGTTGTTTGCCTTTTAACCAATGTTTGGGTTGTTTTATTTTCATTAGAAACAACAAATGGCGGACCAAAGTTTGCTTCGTCAACTGGAGAAACAAGCGGTTGTTCGAAAGGTGCCAGTTATCTCTCTTGAGTATTGTCATGTCCTTTGAATGTTATTGTTGCCTCGGGTGAACGTAATGGTGGGATTGGGCTGCTTATGAACTGACAGAAGGAATGATCGGGTCAGGACAAGTTTGGAGGTCACCAAAGTAATATTATTTGGAACAGGTTGTGATAATGTTGCCTAATTTTGTTGCTGCAAATTAATATTCTTGCCATTATATTTGTTGCTGTACAGCTTGATTGTTATATTTTTGTTGCTTTTTTGTCACCCGCGACCCTTTCTTTCTTTAATACTTTTGTTGTCCCTAATATTAATGTTTGTAGCTGAATACTAAATGATTAATGTTTCATATTTAATACTGTTCTTATTAATGCCATAATGGGTGGCCCAGTGGTGAAAGAGTTACCTCCCTTAGCTGGCAGGATCTGCTGATCCATGGTCTGTTGGACCCATACTGTGCTCATGGATTTCAGCAAAGTGTTAAATGTCTGACTCGCCGTACTGTAATTGAGATACTGTTAAAATGGTGTTTCACTTACTGGATTGTATGGTCCAGACTCAATTATTTACAGACCGCCGTCATATAGCTGAAATATTGCTGAGTGTGGCATTAATCAACAAACAAGCAAACAGTAGCCTCACTCTGATATCAGTAGTGGCTCTTTGAACTTCCTATTTCTTCATCAGCAGAATGCTGCAGCAGCTGCCAATGCACTAAACCAGGTTCAAGGCAACCAGCAACCGCAGCAGAACTTTGTACAACAGCAGAATGGTGAACAGCAACAGCAGATCTTGGCACAGCAACAGGCACAGGCAGCACAACAGGCAGCTCAGCAGGCCGTGCAACAAGCCGGTCAGATCAACCAAGCAGGTGGCTTGCAGGCTAATGACCTTGTTTATCAAGCCCAAGGTCAAGGCCAGTTTCAAGGTCAGGGTCAAGTGCAAGGTCAAGAGGCTGTCCAGAACATGAACCAAAATGTTAATCAGGATATCAACAATCCTAACATGAATGCTGGGGTGAGTTCTTTGAAGAGTCTGGCCTTCTTTGGTGCAGGAGGGCTTGTGTAGCCCAGTCATTTTTGCGCCGCAATTCTCTCTGCAGAGTTGACTCCTTCAGGCATGTCTTGTGGGTAGAGAGTATCCCCAGTGGTGTCACACCAGACATTAAGAGTTGGTCCTTTTTGTTATCCTGCCTGGTGCTTGGCATTAAGGGGATAAAACAAAGACTGGTCAGCACTGAGTCATTATACTGTGTCCAAGTGGGAAATCCATGTTAAAATGTGGCTTGGTATCTCAGTGGACCAGCACTATGAGACCAGGATAGGTCTGGACAAGTACACGCAGACATGCAAAGTCACATGCAAATGAACTTGAACGTCACACACATGTGCGTGCACATCACAATATAAGTTTAATAATCTTGAACACAACATTAAAGTCCATTTCACCACCACAATGATCTTGGCTTTGAATCCAGAATTTGCGCTGATTACATTTCTTTGTGTCAGCACCACCATACCCAGAGTGGTGAACGCCAGAAACCTATGATTGTGGGTTCGAATCCCGGTTCGCCCCGATTATGTTTCTAGGTTTGTCAGCACCATACCTGTGCTCATGAGTTTCACCGAAGTGGTAAACGTCTGAGACCTGCATCACTTCGGGCTTTCCTCCCACATTAAGGTGACACGCCGCGATATAACTGGAATACTGTTAAAAGCAGCGTTAAACCCAACTCACTCACTCACTCACTCACTCTTGTGATACACAAAATGTGATAGTGAGTTAAAGATAATTAGGCTTTCTTTGAGAATTCTTCAATAGATCCCTGATCAGACTAAAAGGATCAACTAGTCCATGATAAATGTAAGCCTCATTCTTTGTCATTCTTAGTTTTACCGGAAACACGAGTATTTATTTTTTGTGGTCTTATATTTCAGGCTCAGGTCCCGAACGCTGGACAAGATGCCAACAACCAACACCAGATGGCAGCAGTTGACTTGCAGCAAGGTAAACAGATTGGTCTGAGCGGAGTTATGTCCCTTAGTCATATCCATGTATCAGAGGTCAATTCCCAGATATTGCCATGGTGATGATCCTTAGTATTTCAACATCATATCCATGCATGTGGGTTTCATCCAAGTTTTAAAGGTCCAAGGCATGCATCATTTGGGGCTTTCCTCACTCATTAAACTGATAAATAACTGAAATACTTTTATAAGGGTGGATAAATCCAACTCTTGTCACTGGCTGATTTGTTGTCGGGAAAAAACTTATGACTATAGCTTGTTTTCAGTCACTCAAGGGACTGTACAAGGACTTGAAAACTCTTTTGTATTCTGTCATAATATAATTATACATGTTTTGTTTTTAAGTAATATGCAAACTCATTATGCATTACTTTTTAAGAATCGCAGTGCACAAACATTATTCAGGGTACGATTTCATTCTGTTTTACCACCTGCACCAGGTGCAACCAAGTAACTTCACCAAAATATTGGCTGCACCATTTTATCATAAATTGAAACACTGTGTTTTCAGTTATTTTGAATATAAAATATATTCAAAGAGAAAATATACTTGAGAATGTGCTCTAGTATTTGATTTTGGGGAAATCAGTATATGGCCTTTCACATCTTGATATCAAGTAAATAACCTCAAAAAGAAGTTTCAAAGTGTCTGTTCGTTGTGATTGCAACCTCATGAGTGACTGATCTAGTGGTAATTATGAAGAATTAGTTCTGCAAGTTCACTGCATTCAGACCCCCTGTGTATTTCAATATTTTCAGGAACTTTTGTTGCCTGGATTCTAACAGATTTGCAGTTCCAAAAGAATTCGGTTTCCACTTTTATTACAATATAGACCCACTGCCGTGCACTTGTGGTAGAAAATGTTACCCGCACTGGGTGCAACCTGGCAATAAAAGTTACCTGCACTTACAATGTTTTACCGGCACTGTTGCAGCTTGGATATAGCGAAATCGATCCCTGTTATTACCCTCATGATGTCACAGAAACAAACCACCCATGTCTATTCATTGATTCCATTGGTCAGGATCTGTGACCTGGTTGTTTGCATGTTACCCCAATGGCATGGAATATTGCTCATGAATGTCGGGTCCAGATATAATTATTTACAGGCTGCCCTTGTGTAGGTGGAACATTGCTGATTGCAGCGTTAAACAACAAAGAAATGAGAAGTGACTGAAAAGTTCTGAGCCCAACTGCAAAGGATGTAAAGTACACCCTTATTAGTTTGCTTGTACAATACTTTTCATGCTTATGGGATGCATTTGAACCAAATACACAGGCAGCAAATGTCTACAGGGATCAAAGTGACTAGATTTTCTTTTTCAATGAAAATGGACAAAGTTTCAAATCAAAGGCATCAAAGTGACCAGATATCCATTTTCAATGAGAATGGACAAAATTGGCTGACATGCTGTCATCAAATGTCTCTAACTGAAAGGGCTATCTCCAACAGCCATCCATGCAGACATGGGGTCAACTTCAGGGCTCCTTCCTTTGCCAGTGTTAGGAGGTGGGCAGCTCAGTTCAAGGGGCAGAGAGAGAGCCTGAAGTTGATGCAAGTTCAAGAAAACATACAAGTGCTGCCACTGAGGAAAATGTTAATAAAATACATGATAGGATTATGGATGATCAAAAACTCACCACACATCACGTGGCCAATAGTTGAGAACATTCTAGCATGACAAAGGTTTCAACCAGTTGGTTTCTAGGGCTTCTGACTCCTTATCAGAAACATTCCATGTTCATTCTCTCGCATGAGAATTTACATCTATTTTTAGCAGAGTCAGATGATTTTGTTCAATTTGCAACCACAGATGAGTCTTCGGTTCAACACTTTCAGCCCGAGGAAACAAAAAGTCAAAACAGTGAAAACATCCAAAGAAGGTGAAGTCTGTTCCATGGTGGCTTCGGTTTTCCAGGAATTCAAAACTAAAGGAATCGAGTTGTTGGATTTCCTTCTGTAATTCAGAGAGATAATGGCCGATATTATGCTGATCTGCTTTGGCAAATGTGTGAGAATATCAAGGCTGAACATGGTGGAAAAGTCACTGTGTGTAATTCCTCAAGGACAATGCACCTGTAAGTTTGTTGTCACCATGGCTACAATGCAGGACTGTGGATGGGAACTCATTGAACATCCTCAATTTTCACCCGATTTGGCATCAACTTTCTACGTCTAAGAAAGAACTGTCTGACAAGCATGATGCACATGTTGATGGCATCATTTCTGCTGTGGAGGACTTTTTAAACCACCAGGAGTAAGTTATCTACACCCGTGGGATGCAGGCATTCCGGCATTGTTGGCAGTGGGCATAATGTTGAATAATAATAAGCAACTGACCCATCAATGCTGTCCATCATAGTTTGGCTCAGAACTTTTTAGCCGCCCCCCCCCCCACCCCCCCCACCCCCCCTTGTGTTCAATCAGTAAAATTGTATAGTATGAAGGTAGTGCCAGCTAAGTTAGATTTGTTGTATAACTTCTCAGTTTTGTCTAAATACTTGCACTAAAGAAAATCTTGTTTGTCAACTATCAGGTCAAGGTCAAGGTCAGGGTCAACAAGGTGTGAACAATGATCAGCATCAAATGCAGGCCCCGAACATGGATGCTGCAAACCAAGAAGCAGGCAATCAGAATCAGGTATTGTGAAACAAATGTAATACATGGGCAGGGCTAACATCTCAATGTGTTTGTGTATTCTAGGCTGTCATTTCACAATTGTCCTGTCTCTTCTTGCATTATTAAACTACAAAGATGACTGTTGGTGTAATTATTGACGCATTAAGAGGTATCAGTTTGTACCATATTCACCTTGGGATAAAACAATTATTTAACCACTTTGAGGGCATGCGTAGAAACATTTAGTGAGTTACATCAATTAGGCTTAAAACTATTTTCATAGATATATATTCATTTCTTCTTTCCATGTTTTTTTAATTCTATTTCTTGCTTTTTTTGCATTAATCAGTTTTCCTAACACACATTATCTGTTTACTGAACAGAATGGGCTGTGCTTCTGTGCAATTTATTTTCTATCAAAGTCTTCCCTATTAATGGGATTTCTTTTCTCACAATTTATGGCTGAATTTGTCACTGTGCTTATTGGGTTTGACAGCTCATTTCCTGTCTCAGGATCTTTTTGACAATAGATATGGATCCCTTGTGAGGACCAGCCTTATTGTCAAATGAATCAGATAGGCCCTTCGGACCTCAACACTCGAATACACATTTTTATCGACCAGTATTCAAACATGCAGAATACATTAATTTTGTTGTTAATCAATACATCGTGATACTTTTGAGTTGATATACAGATGCTAAAATTTCTGATCAATGACACCTCTAATTATTTAGATCCAACATTTTGTTTTGTGAAAGATAAAAGCAGTAATGAAGACGAGGAGTTGTCAGGCTGGGTTATTGGGTTATCCATTGTCAGTTTGCAAGACATTAGTATCTTGCCTTCTAAACTATTATTGGAGGTTGTGATTCATGTGATCCTACTTTCCCCAGGTTTCACTGTGTTATTGATTCTTATAAAGAAATAAGTCTTTTGATTCTTGTTTAAAGAGTTGAACAAAATTAATATGATCATGTGAAAAGATCTGTACAGTTTTCTGATCAATGGTGATTAGGTAGTCAAACACATGTCACCATGCTATATCAGTGTGGTTAAAGTGACCTGCCCTTGTGATGCATAAATCCAAGCTCCTTCCCAGCGGCTGACACCTTTGTTACCCTCCTGGTATCATTGCCGTCACCAGTGTGCGAGCGGCCATTACAAGATTCTTGAAACTGTTCCCACTAACCCCAAATGTAGTGGCCATGAAAGTGAATTGGGGAAACGTTTTCGAGTGACGAACAAGTTACCAGATGAATTTATGTTTGTTTAATCAGATTAGTTTAAAATAGCAGATATGATTGTTGAAAGGAAATAGAAATTCAAATTGACAGACTACTAGAATAATTTAAAGGGGTTAAGAGTACCGTATTCAACATAATAAGCGCCCCGCTCTAATAGCGATATTTGCGTATATACTAGCTAGTGAACGATCCCAATTAGCACCCCTTCCGATTGATCAATGTACACAAGACTTATTTATTTGTGTATAATACGTGTGTTATATGCATCCTTGATTATCGGAATTAAATTCTGGAAAAATATATCTGTCGTATATAAATATTTCAGGCTGTCAGCTTCAACCTCAAAATTTACGATCTTTCCACTGTATTTTTTTCCAACCAAAATAATATTCTAATAAGAGCCCCCTATTTGTAATTTTGAGAGTGCCTTTTACGCTTGTTACGTTGAATAAGGTATTTGGCGTCACAACAGTCATCATTTCATTTATGAACATAATGGTCAGGAAGTTGTGAGTTGAACTCTTTGCAAGGTTGCAGGCCACCTAGCAGTACTGTTGGGAGCTGCATCTGGTGGAAGCAAAAGTTAAAAGAGCTTCGTGAATGGGTTATCACTGTGAGGAGCTTGGCACGAATTAAGGGAGATAATCTTAGATGCTTGGGGTTAAAATTGACCCTGACAGAAACAAGAAACAAAAGACTTGTTATTAGGGCCTGGAACAAACTAATCTCTTGAATAACAGCCTGCATGGAGTGTCTTTGTTTGTTGCCATTGTCGCAATTAACCTTTAGTTTCTCTTTGGATGTTGTCATTGTAAATATGATATTGTGGTGCAATTATCAGCATGATGCCAACTTGTTGAGCGAAGATGGAAAGCAATGTGTTGGTGATGTTTTGGGGCAAAATATGCATGCATTGTGCCATCACTGTTGTAAGGAAGAAGGTAATATTTCAACTTGACTGACAGATGCCTGGCATTTTACACAAAAGTCACTGTCATTCGTCACATTAATAAACAACAAAATATTTTTCCATTTTAACCATTGTTTTTTGCTAAATACTGTTCATTGTTCATTTTAATGTCTACTGATTTTCCCACTGTGTGGATATCCTTTTCAAGACCTTCACCTTGATTTGGCCTAACTTGACCTTAGCTTGACCCCAACATGACCTTGACCAATATATACTCCATGCTGTGCACTTCGTTCTAAGTAATGAATGCAAAGTTTGTTCTCTATGGTTTTGTTAATACTTTGCCAACAGCCATCTTTCTTGAGTTTCACAAAGATTGATTCTCTGCTTTGAGAGGTTGTAAATTTTTACTAAAGCTTTTAATTAAAATATTGCAATAAGCTCAAATCACTGTAAATTAGGTCAGAATAAATATATTTTAAAAAAGTTACAAGGTTGCAGCCTTATCCAAACCAGAATATCCATGACCCATGATTTGTCAGCAGCATCCTAATTGTTTTTTGATCAAAGTGGTGCATCACAGATGATATAGCCTGATGTCACTTGCAATTCCTTCGGGTTTTTTCACCTGATTATGCCGACATGCCATGACAACTGAAAATGACTTTCTAAGGTCACCTCTCTCATTGGACTATCTCGTCCGTAAGGATTTCAAGTGAGAACAGTTCCCCTCCAACTTACGGGTAGTTGTACAAGGCAATTAAGTAGAATATTTCAACGAATACACTAGGGCTGCAACGAATACATTGAGGTGAATACTATTCGTATCACGAATGTAGGGTAACGAATACAAATATTAAATCATGAATACAATAATTTGTCAGCAGTTGATGTATTATTTGTTATATTCAGTGAAGCAATAACAACATAAATTATTTGACATGGTTTGTTAATAATTAATGTATTATACATTTATATACTGCACTTATCCAAGTACTAGTATCTGCTCAAATGCGACAATGATCAGTGACCACAATACTATCAAATCTAATCTTTGAAGAAATCTATGCATATAATATGTTCTTATGCATATTTTTAGGTACAGGGTATGTAAATGAATAAAACAGCCCATGATTGCATATTCTTAAATATTCGATTCTAGTGGCCACGAATAACGAATTCAATTTATGAATGGATACGATTCGATCCCCCGAATGTGTGAGTGAATCGTAACAGCCCTAGAATACACACATCTCGCCTACAGAGCCCTGTTGACCAAATGGTTACGAGATATGTGTCCTTGCTAGGGGATCTAAGACCGCTTGCTTCTATGTGGTTTTGAGTATAGTTTTCTCATCTGCATGCACTCGTTGCCCTGCATGAAGTGGCTTATGGGAGTTGTCGCAGGCAAAGTGCTGGTGCTCTGTATTTGTTGTGGACTTTTGTACATATATTCTTTTGTGTTAACTTTTTTTTGTGGTTGAGGGAAATTCAGTTGTTTTTTTGGATGCTGTTGAAACTGAGGAAAAAATGAGAGTTGTGTGAGAAACTAACACCTGATTTGTTTTTGTGATTTCAAAAACACAACCCATTTTTGTATCAGTTATGATTTATGACATTTCTGTATATTTTATTAAATTATGGGAGGTTAATTTAGATCCTAAAAATAATGCCGATTCTGCAAAAACTAATGTTCACTCCTTCTTTTTTCACTCATGGAATTTCTTCATGATAGATACTTTCTCAGATTTAACCGTAATCAACAGAATTAAGACCCATGTTACAATGCTGGCCTGACCTGTGAAGGGGAAAGTGTTAGTCCAGTGGTCAGAGACATTGAATTCTTGAGCTTGGATGTCCAGGTCATGGGTTCGATTCCAGATTTGCTCTGATTATGGTTTTTGTGTGTCAGCCTCCTTTATCACCATGGTCTTGGCCTCCTTGAAGACCCGGGTTAGAATTGGTCTTCAGCACCCCGTGCTTGTCATAAGAGGCAACCAACGGGATCGAATGGGTCGTGCTTGGGGACTTGTTCATGCATGTCATCATATCCCAATTACGTTGATCAGTGTTCATGATGTCTACCACTGGATTGTCAAGTCCAGACTTGATTATTAACAGACTGCGATCATTTAGCTGGAATATTGCTGACAGCGTTAAACAACAAACTAACAAATATGCAAAAAAATCATGGTCTCGGGTTTCACCAAACTTTCACTCCCATGTTAAATAGACCTACTGTGATGTTATTGTCTGACCCCATTCACTCACTAACCCATGCTTGCCGTGAAAAGCTACAATGCTTGTCGCAAGAGGCGACTAACAGGATTGGGTGGTCAGGCTCGCTGACTTGGTTAATGCATGTCATCGATCCCAATTGCGTTGATCGATGCTCATGATGTCAGTCACTGGATTGTCTGGTCCAGACTCGATTATTTACAGACCGCCTTCATATAGCTGGAATATTGCTGAGTGCAGCATTAAACAACAAACAAACAAATAAACAAACAAACACTCACTTACCCTGTGAGTCTTTTGGGTAGATGCCTGGCCTTAATTTAGTTGATTACGGTCCTTAGTGTTTCCACTACATGCAGTAACTGTATCTCTGTGCTGCTCCCCTATAAACAAGGGGCGGTCGGGTAGCCTAGTGGTTAGAGCGTTTGATCGTCATGCCGAAGACCCGGGTTCGATTCCCGACATTGGTACAATGTGTGAAGCCCATTTCTGGTGTCCCCTGCCGTGATATTGCTGGAATATTGCTAAAAGCGGCGTTAAGCCATACTCACTCACTCACCCTATAAACAAATTTTATTTGGCTACAGAGTGACTAGCCAATATCAAAATTGTTTGCGGGGAGAAGCACAAAGATGCGGTTTTACTGCATCTTCGTTCCTTCTTATGAATGCATCATAGTTTAGGTGTATGCACGCTTCACAAGGTTACAATGGAGTTTCAAGGTTTCATCGAGATGTAAAGCAGAAGCAATGAGAATAGCGGACTAACTTCAATATTTCCATGAACAGTTAAGCACCGAGACAAGTTTCCCACAAACTGTGCATCAGAAAGATTATTTTCCCCTACTATCTTATTACCGTATTCGACGTAATAAACGCCCACGGCGACATTTGCTTACATATTCGCAAGTGAACAATCCCAATTAGCACCCCTGATTGATCAATGTACACAGGACTTACTCATTCGCGTATAATACACACTCGGGTGTTACATGCACCCTTAAATATGGGCAATTAAATTCTGGAAAAATATATCTGTCCTACATTTCAGGCTCTCAGCATAAACCACAAAATTTATCTTTCAACTCTGTTTATTTTTTACCAAAATAATTTTCTAATAAGAGCCCCCTATTTCTAATATTGAGAACGCCCTGGGCGCTTATTACGTGAAATATGGTATGTGTTTTAGCAGTCCTTCTGTTCTCAAAATTGCTGTGATAACATACTTGTGTTACTGGTTTTGATCAAATCATTTGCAGTTAAACTGGAAGTAATGGAACATGTAATAATTTTGTATTAAACACTGAACCTAGGTGCTAATTATAAGCTATGGACGAGATTAGATAAAGACATTTTTATTAGATCCATACAAGCAACATTAGCTGTTATGATGCACTGACAGCACTTCTTCAGCTTGACTCTCCATGACCTTGACCTTTAGCATTGCAACAACTCCATGCACAATGTACTTTTAGCTCCAAACACTGCATGCAATATGTCTCCCTTCTTATCAATTGTCACCACTCGACCCTTTCCATAACTATTAAACCAATCCAAAAAAATACAGTTTTACTCTTATTCAGTATCTGGCCAGCTCGAAAGATCTGACAAAATTTACATAGGTCGTTTCAGAGGATATTCCAAATTGTCCAATCAGTGTAGAAGCTTCTTATTCTCAGTCTCCTGAAAACAAATGTTAACGGGCAGTTCTGAATGGAGAATAATAAATGCCATCCAGTTGTTTATGTAAAACTGACATCTCATTTATTCGTGCATCCTTCATTTTGATCCATCTGAGTGCCCATCCATCTGCTCAGGGTTCACCCATTATGGCTTCAAATGTGGAGATATAGAACATGAGTAAAATATCTGATTTTATGAGATTGTTTGTAAAAAGACTTGCTCCCCATTCAATGGATGTCAATGTGAATCCTGACGAGCTGATCAGATTTGGTGTTAAATAACTAGCATTTCCTTCATTATAACTTTTCGCCATACTTTTTATCTGAAAGTTAAAATTGCCATTTTGAAAGTAGTTCCTTCCATTTATTCCTTGTTCCACCAAGATGGAACCAACGCAATAAGATATTCATGATTGGGGCACAGGTCAAGATTGGGCTTGTACCGAATGGCCGAGTGGTAACGAATGCCTCCTAACTCTTTTCTTCCTACCATACTCTGCAAGTCTGTAGCAAGCAATCTCTCTGGCCAGAACAAGACAGCAGTGGCTCAGCACCACCCAGCTCAAGGAGGACTTACTGAAAAGCCCCTAGATGATCTCAAGCCAGTAAAAGACAAGGCAGTAGAGGCTAAAAACAATACTACCTTAGCGCCAAAGTCCAAACTGGGCTCCCACTTTGGGGACGATGCTGCCATTAAGACTCAGAAAAAGGAATCCTTCAGAGATAAACTGCTTGGGCTGAAGGTACTACATGTTTCACATTAGGGATTGTTTTGTTTAAAAATATTTTTATGAAATATAATTATTTTATGTTTGATTAAGGTATTTGTTACGTGGATGTTTGTGTACTTTCTGATTCAAGTTTGTGACTTGACTAGCTTCCTTGTTGTGGTCATGCTTGTAGTATTGAATTTTATTAATAGTAATAGTGCTGACTACTTCATGTTCACTCTTTATTCATATATTCACCACATACTTACACATTAGCAAATTGATGTCATTGTGTGAAGTGTAGCTAGAGGATTGTTATTGTCTGCTACTGTTTTGAAGGGAGTTCCTTTGAGTTGTTAACATGTGGATCATTTAGATATTTTCACCAAATATTTACAGTTTATTTCTAAAGTGGGTGCGGGTGAGGGTTCACTTAAACAATAAATCCGAAATTTTTGCTGATATTTGATTGGCTGATTTTGCTGAGGCAGATGTTATGCTTTGAAACAAACCACAATGTTCCCTGGCTTGTCATGTATAACCATTGTGACATCACAGAGCACATCAATGGCTTCAGGATTGCAACCCACTTGAGGTGGCAGTACTGTTAGCATTGTAAGCAAACTTTTGGAAATAAATACAATTCATTCCCAAGTATAGAAGATTTCTGGACAAAATTCAACACTGTTCACCTCAGATATAGTTTGCAATCCTTTGTAGATAGAAGTAGCGATCTATCAGTATTTGCCTAACCAATTTGGTAAAATGGAGAAAAAAACATTGATATTTGTCCCACTCTTTTTAACTATTGTGTGGCTTTCTGTTCACTGCTAGTTTACCTTGATTACATTATATTTGATATCAAAAGACACGAGGGGGATATTTTATTTTTCATCCAACATCATTCTTCCAACTTTTTCAGTGTGTAGACAGTAAGTAATAAGCAGCGTCTAAAGTGTAAAAAGTACTGGTGACAGATTCAGGAGCAGAGCCATTATTGATGTCATTTGATTGTGATGTCACAATGGTCTGCAAAGCATTGTGATGCAATTTCATTGCAGCGATATCACCCAATCGATATCTACTGCCAGAGCCAGTTTTGGATGTTAAAGATTGGATTATCTGGATTTTGCTGGAATACTGCTAACTTGTGTCAAATAACATGCACACATGCAGTTACAAAGTCCACAGCTTGCTTTCATGCAGGAATTCAACATTCATTTTCAATAATCACATTTGTCTATCTGGGATTGCTTCTCCAACATGCATGGCCCTCTTGAGTGAGTTTTCTATCCAGTCAGTTATTCTGAGGTTTGATGTTTCAGGACATGATCTTTTAGTCTGGACATCAAAGACCAACAGTAGTGTCAAGGCATTGTCCACAAGTCAGTTGTATGTTTAAAAAGAGCACAGCACAAGTGCATGTATCATGAAAACAATGTTTGGTGTCTTTCAAAGACAAATGGACTCTCAGTGATATGTCAAGGTTGTATCATCTTTCACTGACTTGAGAGAAAACAGGAACCTTATTGGTTGTGATTTCTGGCTTCAAAATTCACATTCAAGATGACTTCTTTCAGCAGAAGGCTGATGGTGATGACATTGGCAAAGAGGGTCACCCAGACGATGTCAAAGTCATGGATGCTTTTGATAACCTCAAAGTTGATCCAGGAAAGCCCCAGGTAGAGATGTCTGATATTGACCCTCTTGACCTTTCATTATGAGTTTAACCTTGACCTTTGCCTTCCCGTGTGTATTTGCTGTGAACATCCCCTAATTAATCCAATAAGCCTCTCATTAATGTGCTCTCCCTTTCAACAATCCAAAGTGTGCTTTAAGTAGTTAGTGCTTCAATCATTAAAAAAGATGGTGATAAACTCTTGAACAAAAGACAGACATTTATGTTTTTTCAGTTCATATGCATTTTGTAGATTCAGAAATTTTCTTAACTGATATTTTCATAGATATTTAGAGGCACAATTTTCACTTTTGATCCCCTGTCATTGTATCTAGCTGTCGATACATTTGGTTCTCAAGATGGAACAATTCAGGGACTCATGAGAAACTTATGAGTCCCTGTTACTCATATCCCATTCCACCAAGACATTTAAGAATGCTTGATTATGATTGGTTAAAATGAGGTATCAATTAGAAGTTCTACAATGTAATTGAAGAATACTTAATTCAGACTGGTTCAAAAGACATTTTCCTTTTTCTACGGTAACCTCTCTTAAATATATGAAGCCTTTTCACATTAAAAACGTGGATATGAATACATCGATAGCCTGCATATCAATTCATACAAAATGGATTTCCTTGTCTATTTTGACGTCAACAAAATGACTTCAGCCTTTATCATCAGAATGTCTGTAACAACAGGAATAAACCATCTAAAGACACAACAAGTTGAATATATGGTTTTGTTGACTGTAGGCAGTTGGTGTGGCAATGAATGCTCCCAAGTCCCCTGAGAATGAAGGGAACGTGTCGCAGAAACAGGTATATCAGTGCAGAAAAGCATGTTTTACTCCTCTGTTCCCAAAGTGACCATGACCCTATGATTTTCTGGGATGCTTTTTAATAGCATCGGCCTGGCCTCCTGAACAGTTGTGAAGCCATTCTTAATTGTTTCCACTAGACAAGAAGTTTCACTGTCCGTGGGTCAGCTTCCTGGGTTTTACCTTGCCACCTTCAGAACTGTGACTCTTACTTTCTACTTTGCCAATCTTTTGTGAGAATGATTGTTATTGTTATAATGATGACAATTATGAGCATGATTAAAATGATATTTCCGCTTACCAAAAGTCTGAATAACAAAATCTTGATATTCTTTTTGTCAGCCAGTGTGAGATAAACAGACCCTTTTGTAGTGTTGAGCACAAGTCAGAACATCTTTAGCTGTATTCAAATGTTCATATATGATAAAAACCGTTTCTTTTATTGCAACCTAATCACAAATTATTTCACTGTCCTTGGTCCCTGGGTCCTCTTCCTAGCTTACATGCCACCACCCTCAGAACAATGAATGTTACTTTGGAGTATATCAGTCTTTTGTTGAGAAGGATTGTTATTGTTTTGATGATGAAAATCACAAGCATGATTAAGATGATATGTATGCTTACCAAATCTGAATGACAATATGTCTATTCTTCTCACATGACCAATAAAAGATAAACGGATCCATTTATTGTGTCAACCACTGAATCTTTGCCAGAACCTTTTCACCTCTACTTTGAAAAGATTTTGTGTGTAGAATAATTCTAAATGTTTTGTTGGTCTTATGATATATATGGTACAGGATTAGTGGGATGAAATGGGTCGCCTTGTCAATTTTGACAGCAACAAAGTGACATCAGCCTTTATCATGAGAATATCTAGAATGACAGGAATAAACCATATAAAGACAACAAGTTGAATATATGACTTTTTTTACTGTAGGCAGTTGGTGTGGCAATGAATGCTCCCAAGTTCCCTGAGAATGAAGGGAACGTGTCCCAGAAACAGGTATATCAGTGCAGAAAAGCATGTTTTACTCCTCTGTTCCTAAAGTGACCTTGACCCTATGATTTTCTGGGATGCTTTTTAATAGCATCGGCCTGGCCTCCTGAACAGTTGTGAAGCCATTCTTAATTGTTTCCACTTGACAAGTAGTTTGACAGTCCGTGGGTCAGCTTCCTGGGTTTTACCTTGCCACCTTCAGAACTGTGACTCTTACTTTCTACTTTGCCAATCTTTTGTGAGAATGATTGTTATTGTTATGATGATGACAATTATGAGCATGATTAAAATGATATTTCCGCTTACCAAAAGTCTGAATAACAAAATCTTGATGTTCTTTTTGTCAGCCAGTGTGAGATAAACAGATCCTTTTGTAGTGTTGAGCACAAGTCAGAACATCTTTAGCTGTATTCAAATATTCGTATATGATACAAAACCGTTTCTTTTATTGCAACCTAATCACAAGTTTTTTCACTGTCCTTGGTCACTGGGTCCTTTTCCTAGCTTACATGAAGCCACCCTCAGAACAATGAATGTTACTTTGGAGTATATCAGTCTTTTGTTGAGAAGGATTGGTATTGTTTTGATGATGAAAATCACAAGCATGATTAAGATGATATGTATGCTTACCAAATCTGAATGACAATATGTCTATTCTTCTCACATGACCAATAAAAGATAAACAGATCCATTTATTGTGTCAACCACTGAATCTTTGCCAGTACATTTTCATCTCTACTTGGACAAGATTTTGTGTGTAGAATAGTTCTAAATGTTTTGTGGGTTTCATGATATATATAGTACAGGATTAGTGGGATGAAATGGATCTCTTTGTCTATTTGGACAGCAACAAAATGACATCAGCCCTTATCACTAGAATATCATTGCAGAAATAAACCATCTTCACAAGCAACAAGTTGAATATATGATTTTGTTGACTGTAGGCAGTTGGTGTGGAAATGAATGCTCCCAAGTCCCCTGAGAATGAAGGGAACGAGTCCCAGAAACAGGTACCTCAGTGCTGGAAAGCATGTTTTACTCCTCTGTTCCCAAAGTGACCATTACCCTATGATTTTCTGGGATGCTTTTTAAAAGCATCGGCCTGGCCTCCTGAACAGTTGTGAAGCCATTCTTAATTGTTTCCACTTGACAAGAAGTTTCATTGTCCGTGGGTCAGCTTCCTGGGTTTTACCTTGCCACCTTCAGAACTGTGACTCTTACTTTCTACTTTGCCAATCTTTTGTGAGAATGATTGTTATTGTTATGATGATGACAATTATGAGCATGATTAAAATGATATTTCCGCTTACCAAAAGTCTGAATAACAAAATCTTGATGTTCTTTTTGTCAGCCAGTGTGAGATAAACAGATCCTTTTGTAGTGTTGAGCACATGTCAGAACATCTTTATAATATAGCTTTATTCAAACATTCCTTCCTAGATGATGCGAAACCCTTTCTTTTATTGCAACCTAATCACAAGTTTTTTCACTGTCCTTGGTCCCTGGGTCCTTTTCCTAGCTTACATGAAGCCACCCTCAGAACAATGAATGTTACTTTGGAGTATATCAGTCTTTTGTTGAGAAGGATTGTTATTGTTTTGATGATGAAAATCACAAGCATGATTAAGATGATATGTATGCTTACCAAATCTGAATGACAATATGTCTATTCTTCTCACATGACCAATAAAAGATAAACAGATCCATTTATTGTGTCAACCACTGAATCTTTGCCAGTACATTTTCATCTCTACTTGGACAAGATTTTGTGTGTAAAATAGGTCTGAATGTTTTGTGGGTCTTATGATACATATGGTACAGGATTAGTGGGATGAAATGGATCTCCTTGTCTATTTGGACAGCAACAAAATGACATCAGCCCTTATCATGAGAATGTCCGTAATGACAGGAATAAACCATCTAAAGACACAACAAGTTGAATATGTGATTTTGTTGACTGTAGGCAGTTGGTGTGGCAATGAATGCTCCCAAGTCCCCTGAGAATGAAGGGAACGAGTCCCAGAAACAGGTACCTCAGTGCAGAAAAGCATGTTTTACTCCTCTGTTCCCAAAGTGACCATGACCCTATGATTTTCTGGGATGCTTTTTAAAAGCATCGGCCTGGCCTCCTGAACAGTTGTGAAGCCATTCTTAATTGTTTCCACTTGACAAGAAGTTTCATTGTCCGTGGGTCAGCTTCCTGGGTTTTACCTTGCCACCTTCAGAACTGTGACTCTTACTTTCTACTTTGCCAATCTTTTGTGAGAATGATTGTTATTGTTATAATGATGACAATTATGAGCATGATTAAAATGATATTTCCGCTTACCAAAAGTCTGAATAACAAAATCTTGATATTCTTTTTGTCAGCCAGTGTGAGATAAACAGATGCTTTTGTAATGTTGAGCATATGTCAGAACGTCTTTATAATATAGCTGTATTCAAACATTCCTTCCTGGATGATACGAGACCCTTTCTTATATTGCAACCTAATCACAAGTTATTTCAATGTCCTTGGTCCCTGGGTCCTTTTCCTAGCTTACATGAAGCCACCCTCAGAACAATGAATGTTACTTTGGAGTATATCAGTCTTTTGTTGAGAAGGATTGTTATTGTTTTGATGATGAAAATCACAAGCATGATTAAGATGATATGTATGCTTACCAAATCTGAATGACAATATGTCTATTCTTCTCACATGACCAATAAAAGATAAACAGATCCATTTATTGTGTCAACCACTGAATCTTTGCCAGTACATTTTCATCTCTACTTGGACAAGATTTTGTGTGTAGAATAGTTCTTAATGTTTTGTGGGTTTCATGATATATATAGTACAGGATTAGTTGGATGAAATGGATCTCTTTGTCTATTTGGACAGCAACAAAATGACATCAGCCTTTATCACTAGAATATCATCGCAGGAATAAACCATCTTCACAAGCAACAAGTTGAATATATGATTTTGTTGACTGTAGGCAGTTGGTGTGGAAATGAATGCTCCCAAGTCCCCTGAGAATGAAGGGAACGTGTCCCAGAAACAGGTACCTCAGTGCTGGAAAGCATGTTTTACTCCTCTGTTCCCAAAGTGACCATGACCCTATGATTTTCTGGGATGCTTTTTAAAAGCATCGGCCTGGCCTCCTGAACAGTTGTGAAGCCATTCTTAATTGTTTCCACTTGACAAGAAGTTTCACTGTCCGTGGGTCAGCTTCCTGGGTTTTACCTTGCCACCTTCAGAACTGTGACTCTTACTTTCTACTTTGCCAATCTTTTGTGAGAATGATTGTTATTGTTATGATGATGACAATTATGAGCATGATTAAAATGATATTTCCGCTTACCAAAAGTCTGAATAACAAAATCTTGATGTTCTTTTTGTCAGCCAGTGTGAGATAAACAGATCCTTTTGTAGTGTTGAGCACATGTCAGAACGTCTTTATAATATAGCTTTATTCAAACATTCTTTCCTAGATGATGCGAAACCCTTTCTTTTATTGCAACCTAATCACAAGTTATTTCACCGTCCTTGGTCCCTGGGTCCTTTTCCTAGCTTACATGAAGCCACCCTCAGAACAATGAATGTTACTTTGGAGTATATCAGTCTTTTGTTGAGAAGGATTGGTATTGTTTTGATGATGAAAATCACAAGCATGATTAAGATGATATGTATGCTTACCAAATCTGAATGACAATATGTCTATTCTTCTCACATGACCAATAAAAGATAAACAGATCCATTTATTGTGTCAACCACTGAATCTTTGCCAGTACATTTTCATCTCTACTTGGACAAGATTTTGTGTGTAGAATAGTTCTAAATGTTTTGTGGGTTTCATGATATATATAGTACAGGATTAGTTGGATGAAATGGATCTCTTTGTCTATTTGGACAGCAACAAAATGACATCAGCCCTTATCACTAGAATATCATTGCAGGAATAAACCATCTTCACAAGCAACAAGTTGAATATATGATTTTGTTGACTGTAGGCAGTTGGTGTGGCAATGAATGCTCCCAAGTCCCCTGAGAATGAAGGGAACGAGTCCCAGAAACAGGTACCTCAGTGCTGGAAAGCATGTTTTACTCCTCTGTTCCCAAAGTGACCATGACCCTATGATTTTCTGGGATGCTTTTTAAAAGCATCGGCCTGGCCTCCTGAACAGTTGTGAAGCCATTCTTAATTGTTTCCACTTGACAAGAAGTTTCATTGTCCGTGGGTCAGCTTCCAGGGTTTTACCTTGCCACCTCATAACTGTGACTCTTACTTTCTACTTTGCCAATCTTTTGTGAGAATGATTGTTATTGTTATGATGATGACAATTATGAGCATGATTAAAATGATATTTCCGCTTACCAAAAGTATGAATAACAAAATCTTGATATTCTTTTTTGTCAGCCAGTGTGAGATAAACAGATCCTTTTGTAGTGTTGAGCACAAGTCAGAATGTCTTTAGCTGTATTCAAATATTCGTATATGTTACAAAACCGTTTCTTTTATTGCAACCTAATCACAAATTATTTCAATGTCCTTGGTCCCTGGGTCCTTTTCCTAGCTTACATGAAGCCACCCTCGAAACAATGAATGTTACTTTGGAGTATATCAGTCTTTTGTTGAGAAGGATTGTTATTGTTTTGATGATGAAAATCACAAGCATGATTAAGATGATATGTATGCTTACCAAATCTGAATGACAATATGTCTATTCTTCTCACATGACCAATAACAGATAAACAGATCCATTTATTGTGTCAACCACTGAATCTTTGCCAGTACATTTTCATCTCTACTTGGACAAGATTTTGTGTGTAGAATAGTTCTAAATGTTTTGTGGGTTTCATGATACATATAGTACAGGATTAGTGGGATGAAATGGATCTCTTTGTCTATTTGGACAGCAACAAAATGACATCAGCCTTTATCACTAGAATATCATCGCAGGAATAAACCATCTTCACAAGCAACAAGTTGAATATATGATTTTGTTGACTGTAGGCAGTTGGTGTGGCAATGAATGCTCCCAAGTCCCCTGAGAATGAAGGGAACGTGTCCCAGAAACAGGTACCTCAGAGCTGGAAAGCATGTTTTACTCCTCTGTTCCCAAAGTGACCATGACCCTATGATTTTCTGGGATGCTTTTTAAAAGCATCGGCCTGGCCTCCTGAACAGTTGTGAAGCCATTCTTAATTGTTTCCACTTGACAAGAAGTTTCACTGTCCGTGGGTCAGCTTCCTGGGTTTTACCTTGCCACCTTCAGAACTGTGACTCTTACTTTCTACTTTGCCAATCTTTTGTGAGAATGATTGTTATTGTTATGATGATGACAATTATGAGCATGATTAAAATGATATTTCCGCTTACCAAAAGTCTGAATAACAAAATCTTGATGTTCTTTTTGTCAGCCAGTGTGAGATAAACAGATCCTTTTGTAGTGTTGAGCACAAGTCAGAACATCTTTAGCTGTATTCAAATATTCGTATGTGATACAAAACCCTTTCTTTTATTGCAACCTAATCACAAGTTATTTCACTGTCCTTGGTCCCTGGGTCCTTTTCCTAGCTTACATGCCGCCACCCTCAGAACAATGAATGTTGCTTGGGAGTATATCAGTCTTTTGTTAAGAAGGATTGGTATTGTTTTGATGATGAAAATCACAAGCATGATTAAGATGATATGTATGCTTACCAAATCTGAATGACAATATGTCTATTCTTCTCACATGACCAATAACAGATAAACAGATCCATTTATTGTGTCAACCACTGAATCTTTGCCAGTACATTTTCATCTCTACTTGGACAAGATTTTGTGTGTAGAATAGTTCTAAATGTTTTGTGGGTTTCATGATACATATAGTACAGGATTAGTGGGATGAAATGGATCTCTTTGTCTATTTGGACAGCAACAAAATGACATCAGCCTTTATCACTAGAATATCATCGCAGGAATAAACCATCTTCACAAGCAACAAGTTGAATATATGATTTTGTTGACTGTAGGCAGTTGGTGTGGCAATGAATGCTCCCAAGTCCCCTGAGAATGAAGGGAACGAGTCCCAGAAACAGGTACCTCAGTGCTGGAAAGCATGTTTTACTCCTCTGTTCCCAAAGTGACCATGACCCTATGTTTTCTGGGATGCTTTTTAAAAGCATCGGCCTGGCCTCCTGAACAGTTGTGAAGCCATTCTTAATTGTTTCCACTTGACAAGAAGTTTCACTGTCCGTGGGTCAGCTTCCTGGGTTTTACCTTGCCACCTTCAGAACTGTGACTCTTACTTTCTACTTTGCCAATCTTTTGTGAGAATGATTGTTATTGTTATGATGATGACAATTATGAGCATGATTAAAATGATATTTCCGCTTACCAAAAGTCTGAATAACAAAATCTTGATGTTCTTTTTGTCAGCCAGTGTGAGATAAACAGACCCTTTTGTAGTGTTGAGCATATGTCAGAACGTCTTTATAATATAGCTTTATTCAAACATTCCTTCCTGGATGATACGAGACCCTTTCTTATATTGCAACCTAATCACAAGTTTTTTCACTGTCCTTGGTCCCTGGGTCCTTTTCCTAGCTTACATGATGCCACCCTCAGAACAATGAATGTTACTTTGGAGTATATCAGTCTTTTGTTGAGAAGGATTGTTATTGTTTTGATGATGAAAATCACAAGCATGATTAAGATGATATGTATGCTTACCAAATCTGAATGACAATATGTCTATTCTTCTCACATGACCAATAAAAGATAAACAGGTCCATTTATTGTGTCAACCACTGAATCTTTGCCAGTACATTTTCATCTCTACTTGGACAAGATTTTGTGTGTAGAATAGTTCTAAATGTTTTGTGGGTTTCATGATATATATAGTACAGGATTAGTGGGATGAAATGGATCTCTTTGTCTATTTGGACAGCAACAAAATGACATCAGCCTTTATCACTAGAATATCATTGCAGGAATAAACCATCTTCACAAGCAACAAGTTGAATATATGATTTTGTTGACTGTAGGCAGTTGGTGTGGCAATGAATGCTCCCAAGTCCCCTGAGAATGAAGGGAACGTGTCCCAGAAACAGGTACCTCAGTGCTGGAAAGCATGTTTTACCCCTCTGTTCCTAAAGTGACCTTAACCCTATGACTTTCTGAGATGCTTTTTAAAAGCATCGGCCTGGCCTCCTGAACAGTTGTGAAGCCATTCTTAATTGTTTCCACTTGACAAATAGTTTCACTGTCCGTGGATCAGCTTCCTGGGTTTTACCTTGCCACCTTCAGAACTGTGACTCTTACTTTCTACTTTGCCAATCTTTTGTGAGAATGATTGTTATTGTTATGATGATGACAATTATGAGCATGATTAAAATGATATTTCCGCTTACCAAAAGTCTGAATAACAAAATCTTGATAATCTTTTTGTCAGCCGGTGTGAGATAAACAGATGCTTTTGTAGTGTTGAGCACAAGTCAGAACGTCTTTATAATATAGCTGTATTCATGGTATTCAAACATTCCTTCCTAGATGTTACGAGACCCTTTCTTATATTGCAACCTAATCACAAGTTATTTCAATGTCCTTGGTCCCTGGGTCCTTTTCCTAGCTTACATGATGCCACCCTCAGAACAATGAATGTTACTTTGGAGTATATCAGTCTTTTGTTGAGAAGGATTGTTATTGTTTTGATGATGAAAATCACAAGCATGATTAAGATGATATGTATGCTTACCAAATCTGAATGACAATATGTCTATTCTTCTCACATGACCAATAAAAGATAAACAGATTCATTTATTGTGTCAACCACTGAATCTTTGACAGTAGATTTTCATCTCTACTTGGAAAAGATTTTGTGTGTAGAATAGGTCTGAATGTTTTGTGGGTCTTATGATACATATGGTACAGGATTAATATGATGAAATGGGTCTCCTTGTCTATTTGGACAGCAACAAAATGACATCAGCCTTTATCATGAGAATGTCCGCAACGACAGGAATAAACCATCTAAAGACACAAATAAGTTTAATATATGAGTTTGTTGACTGTAGGCAGTTGGTGTGGCAATGAATGCTCCCAAGTCCCCTGAAAATGAAGGGAACGTGTCCCAGAAACAGGTACCTCAGTGCTGGAAAGCATGTTTTACCCCTCTGTTCCCAAAGTGACCTTGACCCTATGACTTTCTGGGATGCTTTTTAAATGCATCAGCCCCGCCTCCTGAATAGTTGTGAAGCCATTCTTAATTGTTTCCACTTGACAAGTAGTTTCACTGTCCCTGGATCAGCTTCCTGGGTTTTACCTTGCCACCTTCAGAACTGTGACTCTTACTTTCTACTTTGCCAATCTTTTGTGAGAATGATTGTTATTGTTATGATGATGACAATTATGAGCATGATTAAAATGATATTTCCGCTTACCAAAAGTCTGAATAACAAAATCTTGATATTCTTTTTGTCAGCCAGTGTGAGATAAACAGATCCTTTTGTAGTGTTGAGCACATGTCAGAACGTCTTTAGCTGTATTCAAATATTCGTATATGATACAAAACCGTTTCTTATATTGCAACCTAATCACAAGTTATTTCACTGTCCTTGGTCCCTGGGTCCTTTTCCAAGCTTACATGCCACCACCCTCAGAACAATGAATGTTACTTTGGAGTATATCAGCTCTTGTTGAGAAGGATTGTTATTGTTTTGATGATGAAAATCACAAGCATGATTAAGATGATATGTATGCTTACCAAATCTGAATGACAATATGTCTATTCTTCTCACATGACCAATAAAAGATAAACAGATCCATTTATTGTGTCAACCACTGAATCTTTGCCAGTACATTTTCATCTCTACTTGGACAAGATTTTGTGTGTAGAATAGGTCTGGAATGTTTTGTGGGTTTCATTATATATATAGTACAGGATTAGTGGGATGAAATGGATCTCCTTGTGTATTTTTGACAGCAACAAAATGACATCAGCCTTTATGATGAGAATGTCCGCAACGACAGGAATTAACCATCTAAAGACACAACAAGTTGAATATATGATTTTGTTGACTGTAGGCAGTTGGTGTGGCAATGAATGCTCCCAAGTCCCCTGAGAATGAAGGGAATGTGTCCCAGAAACAGGTACCTCAGTGCTGGAAAGCATGTTTTACCCCTCTGTTCCTAAAGTGACCTTAACCCTATGACTTTCTGAGATGCTTTTTAAAAGCATCGGTCTCCCCTCCTGAACAGTTGATAAGCCATTCTTAATTGTTTCCACTTGACAAATAGTTTCACTGTCCGTGGGTCAGCTTCCTGGGTTTTACCTTGCCACCTCATAACTGTGACTCTTACTTTCTACTTTGCCAATCTTTTGTGAGAATGATTGTTATTGTTATGATGATGACAATTATGAGCATGATTAAAATGATATTTCCGCTTACCAAAAGTCTGAATAACAAAATCTTGATATTCTTTTTGTCAGCCAGTGTGAGATAAACAGATCCTTTTGTAGTGTTGAGCATATGTCAGAACATCTTTATAATATAGCTTTATTCAAACATTCCTTCCTAGATGATACGAGACCCTTTCTTATATTGCAACCTAATCACAAGTTATTCCACTGTCCTTGGTCCCTGGGTCCTTTTCCTAGCTTACATGATGCCACCCTCAGAACAATGAATGTTACTTTGGAGTATATCAGTCTTTTGTTGAGAAGGATTGGTATTGTTTTGATGATGAAAATCACAAGCATGATTAAGATGATATGTATGCTTACCAAATCTGAATGACAATATGTCTATTCTTCTCACATGACCAATAAAAGATAAACAGGTCCATTTATTGTGTCAACCACTGAATCTTTGCCAGTACATTTTCATCTCTACTTGGAAAAGATTTTGTGTGTAGAATAGGTCTGAATGTTTTGTTGGTCTTATGATATATATGGTACAGGATTAGTGGGATGAAATGGGTCGCCTTGTCAATTTTGACAGCAACAAAGTGACATCAGCCTTTATCATGAGAATATCTAGAATGACAGGAATAAACCATCTAAAGACAACAAGTTGAATATATGATTTTTTTTACTGTAGGCAGTTGGTGATGCAATGAATGCTCCCAAGTCCCCTGAGAATGAAGGGAACGTGTCGCAGAAACAGGTATATCGGTGCAGAAAAGCATGTTTTACTCTTCTGTTTCCAGAGTGACTTTGACCCTATGATTTTCTGGGATGCTTTTTAAAAGCATCGGCCTGGCCTCCTGAACAGTTGTGAAGCCATTCTTAATTGTTTCCACTTGACAAGAAGTTTCATTGTCCGTGGGTCAGCTTCCTGGGTTTTACCTTGCCACCTTCAGAACTGTGACTCTTACTTTCTACTTTGCCAATCTTTTGTGAGAATGATTGTTATTGTTATGATGATGACAATTATGAGCATGATTAAAATGATATTTCCGCTTACCAAAAGTCTGAATAACAAAATCTTGATATTCTTTTTGTCAGCCAGTGTGAGATAAACAGATCCTTTTGTAGTGTTGAGCATATGTCAGAACATCTTTATAATATAGCTTTATTCAAACATTCCTTCCTAGATGATGCGAAACCCTTTCTTCTATTGTAACCTAATCACAAGTTATTTCACTGTCCTTGGTCCCTGGGTCCTTTTCCTAGCTTACATGAAGCCACCCTCAGAACAATGAATGTTACTTTGGAGTATATCAGTCTTTTGTTGAGAAGGATTGGTATTGTTTTGATGATGAAAATCACAAGCATGATTAAGATGATATGTATGCTAACCAAATCTGAATGACAATATGTCTATTCTTCTCACATGACCAATAAAAGATAAACAGATTCATTTATTGTGTCAACCACTGAATCTTTGCCAGTACATTTTCATCTCTACTTGGACAAGATTTTGTGTGTAGAATAAGTCTGAATGTTTTCTTGGTCTTATGATACATATGGTACAGGATTAGTTGGATGAAATGGATCTTCTTGTCTATTTTTGACAGCAACAAAATGACATCAGCCTTTATTATTAGAATGACCGTAACAACAGGAATAAACCATCTAAAGACACAACAAGTTGAATATATGATTTTGTTGACTGTAGGCAGTTGGTGTGGCAATGAATGCTCCCAAGTCCCCTGAGAATGAAGGGAACGAGTCCCAGAAACAGGTACCTCAGTGCAGAAAAGCATGTTTTACTCCTCTGTTCCTAAAGTGACCTTGACCCTATGATTTTCTGGGATGCTTTTTAATAGCATCGGCCTGGCCTCCTGAACAGTTGTGAAGCCATTCTTAATTGTTTCTACTTGACAAGTAGTTTGACAGTCCGTGGGTCAGCTTCCTGGGTTTTACCTTGCCACCTTCAGAACTGTGACTCTTACTTTCTACTTTGCCAATCTTTTGTGAGAATGATTGTTATTGTTATGATGATGACAATTATGAGCATGATTAAAATGATATTTCCGCTTACCAAAAGTCTGAATAACAAAATCTTGATATTCTTTTTGTCAGCCAGTGTGAGATAAACAGATGCTTTTGTAATGTTGAGCATATGTCAGAACGTCTTTATAATATAGCTTTATTCAAACATTCCTTCCTAGATGATGCGAAACCCTTTCTTTTATTGCAACCTAATCACAAGTTTTTTCACTGTCCTTGGTCCCTGGGTCCTTTTCCTAGCTTACATGAAGCCACCCTCAGAACAATGAATGTTACTTTGGAGTATATCAGTCTTTTGTTGAGAAGGATTGGTATTGTTTTGATGATGAAAATCACAAGCATGATTAAGATGATATGTATGCTTACCAAATCTGAATGACAATATGTCTATTCTTCTCACATGACCAATAAAAGATAAACAGGTCCATTTATTGTGTCAACCACTGAATCTTTGCCAGTACATTTTCATCTCTACTTGGACAAGATTTTGTGTGTAAAATAGGTCTGAATGTTTTGTGGGTCTTATGATACATATGGTACAGGATTAGTGGGATGAAATGGATCTCCTTGTCTATTTTTGACAGCAACAAAATGACATCAGCCCTTATCATGAGAATGTCCGTAATGACAGGAATAAACCATCTAAAGACACAACTAGTTGAATATGTGATTTTGTTGACTGTAGGCAGTTGGTGTGGCAATGAATGCTCCCAAGTCCCCTTAGAATGAAGGGAACGAGTCCCAGAAACAGGTACCTCAGTGCAGAAAAGCATGTTTTACTCCTCTGTTCCCAAAGTGACCATGACCCTATGATTTTCTGGGATGCTTTTTTAAAGCATCGGCCTCGCCTCCTGAACAGTTGTGAAGCCATTCTTAATTGTTTCCACTTGACAAGAAGTTTCACTATCCGTGGGTCAGCTTCCTGGGTTTTACCTTGCCACCTTCAGAACTGTGACTCTTACTTTCTACTTTGCCAATCTTTTGTGAGAATGATTGTTATTGTTATGATGATGACAATTATGAGCATGATTAAAATGATATTTCCGCTTACCAAAAGTCTGAATAACAAAATCTTGATGTTCTTTTTGTCAGCCAGTGTGAGATAAACAGATCCTTTTGTAATGTTGAGCATATGTCAGAACGTCTTTATAATATAGCTTTATTCAAACATTCCTTCCTAGATGATGCGAAACCCTTTCTTTTATTGCAACCTAATCACAAGTTTTTTCACTGTCCTTGGTCCCTGGGTCCTTTTCCTAGCTTACATGAAGCCACCCTCGAAACAATGAATGTTACTTTGGAGTATATCAGTCTCTTGTTGAGAAGGATTGGTATTGTTTTGATGATGAAAATCACAAGCATGATTAAGATGATATGTATGCTTACCAAATCTGAATGACAATATGTCTATTCTTCTCACATGACCAATAAAAGATAAACAGGTCCATTTATTGTGTCAACCACTGAATCTTTGCCAGTACATTTTCATCTCTACTTGGACAAGATTTTGTGTGTAAAATAGGTCTGAATGTTTTGTGGGTCTTATGATACATATGGTACAGGATTAGTGAATGAAATGGATCTCCTTGTCTATTTTTGACAGCAACAAAATGACATCAGCCCTTATCATTAGAATGTCCGTAATGACAGGAATAAACCATCTAAAGACACAACAAGTTGAATATGTGATTTTGTTGACTGTAGGCAGTTGGTGTGGCAATGAATGCTCCCAAGTCCCCTGAGAATGAAGGGAACGTGTCCCAGAAACAGGTACCTCAGTGCTGGAAAGCATGTTTTACTCCTCTGTTCCCAAAGTGACCATGACCCTATGTTTTCTGGGATGCTTTTTAAAAGCATCGGCCTGGCCTCCTGAACAGTTGTGAAGCCATTCTTAATTGTTTCCACTTGACAAGAAGTTTCACTGTCCGTGGGTCAGCTTCCTGGGTTTTACCTTGCCACCTTCAGAACTGTGACTCTTACTTTCTACTTTGCCAATCTTTTGTGAGAATGATTGTTATTGTTATGATGATGACAATTATGAGCATGATTAAAATGATATTTCCGCTTACCAAAAGTCTGAATAACAAAATCTTGATATTCTTTTTGTCAGCCAGTGTGAGATAAACAGATCCTTTTGTAGTGTTGAGCATATGTCAGAACATCTTTATAATATAGCTTTATTCAAACATTCCTTCCTGGATGATAAGAGACCCTTTCTTATATTGCAACCTAATCACAAGTTATTTCACTGTCCTTGGTCCCTGGGTCCTTTTCCTAGCTTACATGATGCCACCCTCAGAACAATGAATGTTACTTTGGAGTATATCAGTCTTTTGTTGAGAAGGATTGGTATTGTTTTGATGATGAAAATCACAAGCATGATTAAGATGATATGTATGCTTACCAAATCTGAATGACAATATGTCTATTCTTCTCACATGACCAATAAAAGATAAACAGGTCCATTTATTGTGTCAACCACTGAATCTTTGCCAGTACATTTTCATCTCTACTTGGACAAGATTTTGTGTGTAGAATAGTTCTAAATGTTTTGTTGGTCATATATATATGGTACAGGATTAGTGTGATGAAATGGATCTCCTTGTCTATTTGGACAGCAACAAAATGACATCAGCCTTTATCATGAGAATGTCCGTAACGGCAGGAATAAACCATCTTCACAAGCAACAAGTTGAATATATGATTTTGTTAACTGTAGGCAGTTGGTGTGGCAATGAATGCTCCCAAGTCCCCAGAGAAAGACGGGAACGAGTCCCCCAATCAGGTACCTCGGTGCTGGAAACCATGTTTTACTCCTCTGCTCTCAAAGTGACCTTGACTCTATGATTTTCTGGGATGCTTGTATTAAGCATAGACCTCACCTCCTGGCTAGTTCTGAAGCCATTGTTCATTGTTTCCACTTGACAAGTATTTTCACTGTCCCTGGTCCTTGGGTCAACTTCTTCACTTTTCCCACCTTTCAGAAATGGGAATCTTACAATGCCAGTGTTTAGTTGAAGATTGTTATTGTTATGATGATGAGATTTTTGAGCATGATCAAAATGATATGTAAGCTTACCAAAAGTCTGAATAACAATATCTTTGTATTCTTCTCCTAAACACGGTATAAGATAAACAGATCCTTTTAAGTGGCGACCACACGTCAGAACATCTTTAGCTGTATTCAAACATTCCTTCCTCAGATTCGAAACCCTTTCTTTTATTGCAACCTAATCACAAGTTATTTCACTGTCCCTGGTCTCTGGGTCCTCTTTCTTGCTTAAATGACAACACCCTCAGAACAATGAACCTCACTGTGAACTGTAACAGTCTTTTATTGAGAAGGATTGGTATTGTTTTGATGATGAAAATCACAAGCATGATTAAGATGATATGTATGCTTACCAAATCTGAATGACAATATGTCTATTCTTCTCACATGACCAATAAAAGATAAACAGGTCCATTTATTGTGTCAACCACTGAATCTTTGCCAGTACATTTTCATCTCTACTTGGACAAGATTTTGTGTGTAGAATAGTTCTAAATGTTTTGTTGGTCATATATATATGGTACAGGATTAGTGTGATGAAATGGATCTCCTTGTCTATTTGGACAGCAACAAAATGACATCAGCCTTTATCATGAGAATGTCCGTAACGGCAGGAATAAACCATCTTCACAAGCAACAAGTTGAATATATGATTTTGTTAACTGTAGGCAGTTGGTGTGGCAATGAATGCTCCCAAGTCCCCAGAGAAAGACGGGAACGAGTCCCCCAATCAGGTACCTCGGTGCTGGAAACCATGTTTTACTCCTCTGCTCTCAAAGTGACCTTGACTCTATGATTTTCTGGGATGCTTGTATTAAGCATAGACCTCACCTCCTGGCTAGTTCTGAAGCCATTGTTCATTGTTTCCACTTGACAAGTATTTTCACTGTCCCTGGTCCTTGGGTCAACTTCTTCACTTTTCCCACCTTTCAGAAATGGGAATCTTACAATGCCAGTGTTTAGTTGAAGATTGTTATTGTTATGATGATGAGATTTTTGAGCATGATCAAAATGATATGTAAGCTTACCAAAAGTCTGAATAACAATATCTTTGTATTCTTCTCCTAAACACGGTATAAGATAAACAGATCCTTTTAAGTGGCGACCACACGTCAGAACATCTTTAGCTGTATTCAAACATTCCTTCCCAGATGATTCGAAACCCTTTCTTTCATTGCAACCTGATCACAAGGAATTTCACTGTGCCTGGTCTCTGGGTCCTCTTTCTCGCTTTAATTTCATCACCCTCGGAACAATGAACCTCACTGTGAACTGTAACAGTCTTTTGTTGAGTTGAATATATGATTTTGCTAACTGTAGGCAGATGTCAGCAACCCATGTTTGTCGTAAAAGGTGACTAACGGGATCGGGTGGTCAGGCTCGCTGACTTTGTTGATGCATGTCATTGTGTCCCAATTGCGTGAACCGATGCTCATGGTATTAATCCCTGAATTGTCAGGTCCAGACTCAATTATTTACAGAACACCATCATATAGCTGGAATATTGCCAAGTGTGGCGTTAAACAACAAACCAACCAACCCAATTGCGTGGATCGATGCTCATGATGTCAATCACTGGATTGTCTGGTCCAGACTCGATTATTTCAAACCACCATCATATAGCTGGAATATTGCCGAGTGTGGCGTTAAACAACAAACCAACCAACCTTATTGCGTTGATCAATGCTCATGATATCAATCACTGGATTGTCTAGTCCATTATTTACAGACAGCTGGCCTATAGCTGGAATATTGCTGAGTACGGCGTTAAACAACAAACAAACAAACAAATCAGAATCAAGGGAACGAGTCCCAGAAACAGGTACCTCTGTGCTGGAAACCTTGTTTTACTCCTCTGTTCCCAAAGTGACCGTGATCCCATGACGTTCTGGGATATTTTTTATAAGCTTAGGCCAAGCTGCCTCAATGGTTCTGAAGCCATTCTTAATTGTTTCCATTTGACAAGTAGTTTCACTGTCCGTGACCTTGACCCTATGATTTTCTTACCAGGTTACCTTGACCGTGACCCTTTTTACCTGAAATCTGCACTTTACATTTTTACATACACCATGAAATCAGTTATCACTGTTGATGCAAGCTATCGTTTTTGTTCTGTTATTTGTTTTTCTGGAAATTAGACTGTTTTAATGGGCCTACTTTGTCCCATGCCTGTCTTCTTATAAGGATTTGTTTGGTACGTACAATACATTGGCCAGGAATGTGGTGTTGAAGTTTATTTCCCCACATGGGATTGTGTCTCCTTCAGTTCACTGAACATTCACTTTCTCATAGGATATCACTTTTATCCATAGTAAACTCAGCATTGTAGTCACTTGTAATGGAGTCAACAAGGTGGTCAGGCACATCAGTTGGCTGGTTGGCTGCAAGGACGCTTTGATTTTTTTGTTTGAAATGTGACTTTATCATTGTGAGTGCTCATTGATAGTGACAGGCCTCTAAGTTGCGGCTAAAACAATGGCCAATTCGACCTAAATTTCAATTTGTCTACTGTCTAAAATTCAGAGATAGCCAATTGACTACCTTGAAAATATCTTGTGGCAACTAAATTCTACTGCTTCATATTTGAAGACACAAAAATAAACAGCAGCTAAATATTGAAAATATGTGTTCTAATAATTGTACTTGCTTATAAGTCCTGCTAAAGTCGACAATGAACAGAAATACATAAATATTAATGTAATTACTTAAATTAGTATCTTATTTCAGTTGACAATCTTGTAACATAAATTGCATCATTGTTTTAGTCACAAATAACAAAAATCAAGTACAGTTTCCACTAATATACAATTCCAAGACTAATGCTATGACTCGTACATAGTATAATAGTTATTTGATAAAAGATAAATTCAAATGCTTTTGGCTACCTGCACTATTAGTTTGACTTCTTGATTTAACCACTGGCCACCTGGAAAAAATGCTACTTGGTAAAAAATTAAACTTTGAGGCCTGAGTGAAATCCAGCATAGTACACTAATAATGATAACAATAATGTTGGGAAGTGTGTAGTCCTGCACCATGACCGTGGAACATATTTATTTTATGAAAAAATAATAATCTAGAAATGCATACAAAAGCAAGTATAGCCAGCTCAAGCTAGCTCTATTCCACAGCATAGGGAATTTATCTTATTTTTAGAGTCAAGAAGGATATTGTGTAATATAAGATTTCAGAGACTAAATGTTAGTCTAGGAAGTGTGATGATGAGAATATTATATATTTTTATGAAGATGATGATGATGATGATGATGATGATGATCCTTTGTACAATTTTGAATCCTTGTGATGGCGGTGGTTGTGAACACTTCATTAACTTTATGTAATCATCCCATTGTTAGGCTGTTGAGGAGCAGCCCAAGGTAGACTTGCATGAGGATGCCCAGCACCAGCCAGCACAGGGACAAGAACAGGTACACACTGAATACACTTACTTGACTTCAAGCAGGGCCACTGCTGACCCAGTTGACTCTGGCCCAGGGTATTCCACCCACATTATGGTCAAGCTAATTACAAGATACCATGATTATTAGTTAACCACCAAAGTTCATACCTTAATATTTCTGGATCTGTCAAGTCAGTTAAGCTCTCCAAGTATGATTAAAGAAAATGTGAGAAAATCAGATCTATTTGGCATGTGCTTCTCTTTCCTAAATGTCCCCCGACGTGATATTGCTGGAATATTGCTAAAAGCGACATAAAACCTTACTCACTCACTCACTCACTCACTCTTTCCTTAAACTACAATGGATTTAAATGGAGCCTTTCTCAAATGTAACTGTTAAATGATGAGCACAGTGTTTTTCTACATTGTCTCAAGTGTCACTGTGTATCATTGAGAAACTGGTTTACGGATGATATATTTTGGACATACATTTTGATATTTGCAGACCTTTTGACTTGAAGATATGTCAAGGTAAAATTATATACGGGTGGCTGACAATTCTAGTTGTATGGATGGAAGATGAGATTGTTATTCATGGGGGAAATTGAACAAGGATGCGGTTTGTGATACTCATAATTTGTGGATATATTTTATGCCTTCATTGTTAAATAAGGGAGTTACAATATTCATTGCGCAAAGATCACTTTGAAGCATGGATGCCTACCCCATTGCTCCACAAGCAAGGACGAGTGGTAAAACAATTGTAAGTCTATGTTATGGTGTTGGAGGTATAAGAGTTATGGCGCTACGATCACCTTGTGGAATGAGGTCATGGTCAAGATGTACAATTGAATGAACGATGTGGGCCTGCTGTGATTGGCTATCAATATTCACTCTAGGTAGCTGGTGTCGTGATGCAAGCACAAGCTCCTAAGGCTCCTCAGAATGAAGGCGAGGTCCAGAAACAGGTATATATTGGTGCTGGGATTTCATTGTGAGATAGACCGCCTCCGTGGTCTTGTGGTAGAGCGTCCGCCCGGAGAGCGGAAGGTCCAGGGTTCGATCCCGGGCCGCGTCATACAAAAAGACGTTAAAAGATTGTACTTGTTGTTACCCTGTCTGGCGCTCGGCATTAAGGGGCTAAAACAAGGACTGGTCGGCTCGGAGTCAGTATACTGTGTCTGAGTGGGGTATTCATGTTAAACTGCGGCATGGTATCTCAGTGAGCTAGCACTATAAATCGGCATCAGTCCGGACTAGTACAAGCAGCCACACACACAAATACACGTGCACGCACGTCGCTATATAAGTGCAATAATCTTGGACGCGACGTTAAACCCAATTTCACCTCACCTCACCTCATTGTGAGATTCTTGATCCTCCCTTGTTCCTCACCAGCCTTGGATAGTTTTCCTCATGTTGTTTGCACTTTGCCTGATTGAACCCTACTGTACTGACAAAAGTTGGGTTTCCTCCGGTACCAATATCTGAGTAGGGGTCTAGGTTGCCCAGTACTCAGAGTTGTGTCCCTTAGCTATACTAAGATCTGCTGCAGAAGGGTTCAAATCCCAAATCCTCCCTGATAAATATCCTTTGTCCATAAGCACCAAAGCTTTGCTTGTGGGTTTCCTGAAAGTGTTACATGGTCACAACCTCTGTCATATCGGACCTTCCTTCCATGTACACACATTGATGCTCAACCCAACTCCCCCAATCAATAAGTCACTACTTTCTGGATATCCAGTGTTGTGAATGTTACTCCACCTTGCCATCCCATCTTTCACCCATGTATTGTTACATCTTTGGTTTCATTTATGCCAAACTTTTGTTTTGAAATTGTCACATTCTACTGCTTTGGTGCGCCCAAAAGCTTCCTGCCCTTCGGTACGTTTTTTCCTCCTTTAATTTTCAGGATGTCATCAGAGTCTTCTTTCAGTTGGAGAATGTAGTGGGGGAAAAATAATTTCCTTTAGGTTTAACTGCACACCACACCACACCACACCACACCACACCACACCACACCACACCACACCACACCCATGTTTTCCATGAACCTTTTCTCGATTTAACACGGATATTTTAAACCATAGGTTATACTATGAATAATCTCCTGCTTGGTATAATAGTGATAATCAACTTCTGGATATGATGTTGAAAGTCTCCTTCTGGATATGACATGGATGATCTCCTATTGATGGGAAATGGGTAAACCCTTCCAAGGTATAACATGGTTATTTTCTATGCTGGTATAAGATTAATACAATTTCCTGCTAATTACATGGATAATCTTTTCTTTCTTTTTTGAGAATAACATGATTGATTTGACATATTTGTTCTCATCTATGTGGTATAACATAGGGTATTCCGTGTTGTTTAACATGGTTATTTCATGTGGTTTAACATGGTTATTTAAGGTGGTTTAACATGGGTATTCTATGTTATTTAACATGGGTATTCTATGTTGTTTAACATGGTTATTTCATGTGGTTTAACATGGTTATTTAAGGTGGTTTAACATGGGTATTCTATGTTATTTAACATGGGTATACTGTGTTGTTTAACATGGGTATTCCATGTTATTAAACATGGGTATTCTATGTTGTTTAACATGGGTATTCTATGTTTTTTAAACATGGGTATTCTATGTTGTTTAACATGGGTATTCTATGTTGTTTAACATGGGTATTCCATGTTATTAAACGTGGGTATTCTATGTTGTTTAACATAGGAATTCTATGATGTTTTTAAAGTGAATATTAAGTGAACTGATATTTCAGAATGCGGGTGATGTGGATGTTGACAAAATCCACCCTCCAGTCTTACTTGATGACCATGTTGCGGATGATAAAGAAATTCAGGAGGTAGAACATATCCTTAAAACAATTCTGCTTCTATGACACCACTTTGTTTTGTTTGTCTTTATTATTTATCTCACTTTAGGAGATCTATCAAACATGTTTTTCTTCTTTTCATCACTTCAATATTTTTAGGATTGTTTATAGTTTCATAGAGGTGTACTATTTTGTAGGATTCTGTTCTCATTGAGCTTTTAGACAATTATTGGTCACCTGAAACAAGATTTCATTTGACCTGATACTCTAGTTTTACTTATTGGTTTTTTAACTGTTTGAAACATCAATCCATCAATTTGGGAATTGTGATTTTATTTCTTTTTGTTTTGTTAAATTCTGTTTCGTTTTTGTAGTTGATCCGACCTGGTGATGTTGAGCTAAAGGTACATGTTCTGTTTTTGGAAGGCTCTTTTGTTTTACAGTTAACAGGCTAAACTAACCAGAATAGCTTGGGTAGAACAAAAAAAGAAAATAATGTGTGCACTTGTGAATATTTTTAAATATTTAACATGCATTCAAAGAACTTAATGAGAGAAATTAAGTGCTTAATACAATTAAATTAAATGTGTTCAGAATGAACATTTTCTTCTTCTGTATATTGCCGTATTTACATATGGTGAGTTATGTTAAATTTGAACCAAACAAATATATATTTACCTTTTATAGCTGTAGGCTGCAGTTGCTAAATCTGAAAGCTGAAAAATAGTAATAGTGTGACCAAATGTCAGTGTGTTGATTGTGTAAAGTCCATCCTGTGTAAACCAAGATGGTGAGAACAGGTTATAATGCCAATTTGTGTTTGAGTCATGAACACAATTTAGAGTCACGAATGAGTTAAAACTTTTCGTATCCAAGAAATTGAAAACGAAACATTCTGTTGATTGTTATCATAAAAGGAATATACAAGTTTGTTAAAGTACCTAGGACGTTTTTGTGAGAAGTTCTGGCAGATAGAAATGTGTTGCATCAAATATCACTCATGGAAAGTATAATGAGGATTATGGATGGATAAAGTCAAATACAAAGGATCCACATGTCATGTGAAATCCTGGGTAACTGTCATGGTGATGTCATGGTCAGTGTAAAACCCGACTCACTGACAGTTCAACACCCTTGTGTCACGATAATGGGCTGTTTCTAGCAATTTCTTTGTGGTTATTTGGACTTTTGTGGATCAAATTCTAAGATAATTCAGGTGCCTTTCTCTATTTCTCCATTAACCACTTTCAACCATTGACAACGGACATGCTTACTGGATACTTTTTCGATTATTTATGTTAACAGGTTTTGCTTCTGATTTCTAACTCTTAGAGTGTAGTAAAAGCTTCTTTCTTAGAACACAATCCTCAATTTATAGTTGTTATGTTGAGTGCTGTTGCTGTCCCTCAGATTTGCTTCATTTTTGATGTTATATCAGTACAAGAATAACGGCTCAATTTTATGTATATGAACTTAGGTTAATATTGTTGAGCATATGATGAGTAATTACAAAATTTCATCATGGATTAACAGAGGCCTGCCAAAGGCACGTAGTTTGGAATCCTGGATAAATTCCTCGCATTGTTTCAATATGTTCTATCTCTTGTAGCATAAATATGGTAACTTAATTCAAATAAATGTTGTGCAGATCTATTTAGGGACAGTTCATCCATTTCCTTTGCCATGTTGGGGAACATTATGATCATTAGAACCTTCCCCAATAATTCTCAAGACATGGTTGTGTCAGAAGCAACAATGTCAAATGAACCATAGCCTTAGAACATTGACTACTATAATACGATGTGCTTCAGTGATGTCTGTGGATAATGGCAAGGAATAGGAACCCATCTTGTCTTATTTAGTCACTCTGTGGGGATTCCAGGTTAGAATGGGTCCACAGCAACCTATGCTGGTCGTAATAGGTGACGAAATGGATGTGCTGGTCAGACCCTGTGATTTGGTTGATAGCGTGTCATTGTACTCAGATGGCATGGAGGGGGCACGGGTGGGCCAGTCGTCTTAGGCTCCGCGATTCGCTGTGCAGAGTTGCGTCCCTTAAGCATGCCAGAAACCTATGATGTGTGGCAAGGATACGAATGTGGTATTTTGACAAAGTGTTGATCTCCTGTATTTCAGTGCAGATGTGATATATTGACATAGTTAACCCCTTGTATAACAACACAGATGTTGTATAATGGCAAAGCGTTGACCCTCTCACACATGGATGCATATGTTGTATATTGACAAAGAGCTGACTTTGTATGACAAGAACGATGTGGGATACGTTGATAATATACCAACCCTGTATTATAGCAACAATGTAGATGTTGTCTGTTGACAAAGTATTAACCTCTTGTATAGCCGCAGTTTGGAAGTAGCCTGAGTCTAGTACAATTCTGTTCAGTCTAGGAAGCTCAGCTGATAATAGTCCTGTCTAGACTTAGAGCCACATTCAGGCAAGTAGACTCAAAGTTTTTGCACAGACTAATGCAGAATATTGACAAAAGTGTTGACCTCTTGTATAGCCGCATTATGGAAGTAGCCTGAGTCTAGTACAATTCTGTTCAGTCTAGGAAGCTCAGCTGATAATAGTCCTGTCTAGACTTAGAGCCACATTCAGTCTAGTTGACTCAAAGTTTTTGCACAGACTGATGCAGAATACTGACAAAAGTGTTGACCTCTTGTATAGCAACGTCTCCAGCTGGATGAGAATAAGGGAGGCGAGGTGAAGGTGGACATTGAGCGACCAGTCAATGTGGATGTTCCGATAGTCAAGGACTCTCTAGAAGTGGTTGACAACCAGGTACATACAAGTACTTAAATGTGCTGTCTTCCTCTAGACTCTTTCTGTCCAGCTAATATCCTGCTCCCTTCCTTACACCTGTGAGTGAACACTTCATTATTGACTTTGAATTTGTTTTGTAATGTAGTTAAATAGGTTGCCTATATATTAAGTCTTTGAAAGGCATTTAGAGGTTATACACTTAAGGAAGAGAATTTATGGATGTCAACTTTTTTATTATGAGGAACACAACATTTCAGAGTGTATACTTACTCCTTTATCAGGTAAAGAAGTTGACATTCATAAATTTTCTTCCTTATGCCTATAGGGGGCAAGGGGGGCCCAGTCGTCTAAGGCACTATGATTCGCTGTGCAGAGTTGCGTCCCTTGGGCACGCCAGAAACCTATGATTGTGGGTTCGAATCCCGGTTTGCCCTGATAATGTTTCTAGGTTTGTCCGCACCATGCCCGTGCTCGTGGGTTTCACCGAAGTGGTAAACATCTGAGACATGCATAACTTTTGTCTTTCCTCACACATAAAGCTGACATGCTGCGATATAACTGGAATACTGTTAAAAGCGGGGCCAAACCCAACTCACTCACTCACTCACCTTATGCCTATATATGGGCTGTATTCTAAACTTTGTTTTGGTTTCTCGTTATTGGTTTTTCCTGGTAGACTTCTATGAAAGAAGAAATTTGCAGTTTATTGCAAATATCAGGGTCCATGAGATTGAATGGGGTCCGACTTGATGGAACATATAATATGTAAACTTTAATAATAGGTCTTTTTGATAATGATCGAAGTGAAGTTAATATGGTGAAGTGATGAACTGATACCATGCAGGAGCATTAAGTACAATTTGTTTCACTATTCATGATCTCATTACTTCAATTGATCAACCTCCTCCTGTGATAGTTATGTCTTAAAAGATGTGTATAATAGCCCTGTCTTTGTAGATGCTGCTTATAGTCCACCTGTCTGTGATAGATGTCTGTCATATGCGTGGGAGATGTCTCTCATCTTCTGTCTGTGATAGATGTCTCTCATCTTCTGTCTGTGATAGATGTCTCTCATTGTCCTGTCTGTGATAGATGTCTCTCATAGTCCTGTCTGTGATAGATGTCTCTCATAGTCCTGTCTGTGATGGATTTCTTTCATTGTCCTGTCTGTGATAGATGTCTCTCATAGTCCTGTCTGTGATGGATTTCTTTCATTGTCCTGTCTGTGATAGATGTCTCTCATAGTCCTGTCTGTGATAGATGTCTCTCATTGTCCTGTCTGTGATAGATGTCTCTCATTGTCCTGTCTGTGATAGATGTCTCTCATAGTCCTGTCTGTGATGGATTTCTTTCATTGTCCTGTCTGTGATGGATTTCTTTCATTGTCCTGTCTGTGATAGATGTCTCTCATTGTCCTGTCTGTGATAGATGTCTCTCATTGTCCTGTCTGTGATAGATGTCTCTCATTGTCCTGTCTGTGATAGATGTCTCTCATCGTCCTGTCTGTGATAGATGTCTCTCATAGTCCTGTCTGTGATAGATGTCTCTCATTGTCCTGTCTGTGATAGATGTCTCTCATCGTCCTGTCTGTGATAGATGTCTCTCATAGTCCTGTCTGTGATAGATGTCTCTCATAGTCCTGTCTGTGATAGATGTCTCTCATTGTCCTGTCTGTGATAGATGTCTCTCATAGTCCTGTCTGTGATGGATTTCTTTCATTGTCCTGTCTGTGATGGATTTCTTTCATTGTCCTGTCTGTGATAGATGTCTCTCATTGTCCTGTCTGTGATAGATGTCTCTCATTGTCCTGTCTGTGATAGATGTCTCTCATTGTCCTGTCTGTGATAGATGTCTCTCATTGTCCTGTCTGTGATAGATGTCTCTCATTGTCCTGTCTGTGATGGATTTCTTTCATTGTCCTGTCTGTGATAGATGTCTCTCATTGTCCTGTCTGTGATAGATGTCTCTCATAGTCCTGTCTGTGATAGATGTCTCTCATAGTCCTGTCTGTGATAGATGTCTCTCATAGTCCTGTCTGTGATAGATGTCTCTCATAGTCCTGTCTGTGATAGATGTCTCTCATCGTCCTGTCTGTGATAGATGTCTCTCATTGTCCTGTCTGTGATGGATTTCTTTCATTGTCCTGTCTGTGATGGATTTCTTTCATTGTCCTGTCTGTGATAGATGTCTCTCATTGTCCTGTCTGTGATAGATGTCTCTCATTGTCCTGTCTGTGATAGATGTCTCTCATCGTCCTGTCTGTGATAGATGTCTCTCATAGTCCTGTCTGTGATAGATGTCTCTCATAGTCCTGTCTGTGATAGATGTCTCTCATAGTCCTGTCTGTGATAGATGTCTCTCATAGTCCTGTCTGTGATAGATGTCTCTCATCGTCCTGTCTGTGATAGATGTCTCTCATCGTCCTGTCTGTGATAGATGTCTCTCATAGTCCTGTCTGTGATGGATTTCTTTCATTGTCCTGTCTGTGATGGATTTCTTTCATTGTCCTGTCTGTGATAGATGTCTCTCATTGTCCTGTCTGTGATAGATGTCTCTCATTGTCCTGTCTGTGATGGATTTCTTTCATTGTCCTGTCTGTGATAGATGTCTCTCATAGTCCTGTCTGTGATGGATTTCTTTCATTGTCCTGTCTGTGATGGATTTCTTTCATTGTCCTGTCTGTGATAGATGTCTCTCATAGTCCTGTCTGTGATAGATGTCTCTCATTGTCCTGTCTGTGATAGATGTCTCTCATTGTCCTGTCTGTGATAGATGTCTCTCATTGTCCTGTCTGTGATAGATGTCTCTCATCGTCCTGTCTGTGATAGATGTCTCTCATAGTCCTGTCTGTGATAGATGTCTCTCATTGTCCTGTCTGTGATAGATGTCTCTCATTGTCCTGTCTGTGATAGATGTCTCTCATTGTCCTGTCTGTGATAGATGTCTCTCATTGTCCTGTCTGTGATAGATGTCTCTCATTGTCCTGTCTGTGATAGATGTCTCTCATTGTCCTGTCTGTGATGGATTTCTTTCATTGTCCTGTCTGTGATGGATTTCTTTCATTGTCCTGTCTGTGATAGATGTCTCTCATAGTCCTGTCTGTGATAGATGTCTCTCATTGTCCTGTCTGTGATAGATGTCTCTCATTGTCCTGTCTGTGATGGATTTCTTTCATTGTCCTGTCTGTGATAGATGTCTCTCATTGTCCTGTCTGTGATAGATGTCTCTCATTGTCCTGTCTGTGATGGATTTCTTTCATTGTCCTGTCTGTGATAGATGTCTCTCATTGTCCTGTCTGTGATAGATGTCTCTCATTGTCCTGTCTGTGATAGATGTCTCTCATAGTCCTGTCTGTGATAGATGTCTCTCATTGTCCTGTCTGTGATAGATGTCTCTCATTGTCCTGTCTGTGATAGATGTCTCTCATTGTCCTGTCTGTGATAGATGTCTCTCATTGTCCTGTCTGTGATAGATGTCTCTCATTGTCCTGTCTGTGATGGATTTCTTTCATTGTCCTGTCTGTGATAGATGTCTCTCATTGTCCTGTCTGTGATAGATGTCTCTCATTGTCCTGTCTGTGATAGATGTCTCTCATTGTCCTGTCTGTGATAGATGTCTCTCATTGTCCTGTCTGTGATAGATGTCTCTCATTGTCCTGTCTGTGATGGATTTCTTTCATTGTCCTGTCTGTGATAGATGTCTCTCATTGTCCTGTCTGTGATAGATGTCTCTCATTGTCCTGTCTGTGATAGATGTCTCTCATTGTCCTGTCTGTGATAGATGTCTCTCATTGTCCTGTCTGTGATAGATGTCTCTCATTGTCCTGTCTGTGATGGATTTCTTTCATTGTCCTGTCTGTGATAGATGTCTCTCATAGTCCTGTCTGTGATGGATTTCTTTCATTGTCCTGTCTGTGATAGATGTCTCTCATAGTCCTGTCTGTGATAGATGTCTCTCATTGTCCTGTCTGTGATAGATGTCTCTCATAGTCCTGTCTGTGATAGATGTCTCTCATTGTCCTGTCTGTGATAGATGTCTCTCATTGTCCTGTCTGTGATAGATGTCTCTCATAGTCCTGTCTGTGATGGATTTCTTTCATTGTCCTGTCTGTGATAGATGTCTCTCATCGTCCTGTCTGTGATAGATGTCTCTCATAGTCCTGTCTGTGATGGATTTCTTTCATTGTCCTGTCTGTGATAGATGTCTCTCATTGTCCTGTCTGTGATAGATGTCTCTCATAGTCCTGTCTGTGATAGATGTCTCTCATAGTCCTGTCTGTGATAGATGTCTCTCATTGTCCTGTCTGTGATAGATGTCTCTCATAGTCCTGTCTGTGATAGATGTCTCTCATAGTCCTGTCTGTGATAGATGTCTCTCATTGTCCTGTCTGTGATAGATGTCTCTCATTGTCCTGTCTGTGATAGATGTCTCTCATTGTCCTGTCTGTGATGGATTTCTTTCATTGTCCTGTCTGTGATAGATGTCTCTCATTGTCCTCTTGTCCATGGTGGAGGCCTCTCATTGTCCTGTCTGTGATAGATGTCTCTCATTGTCCTGTCTGTGATGGATTTCTTTCATTGTCCTGTCTGTGATAGATGTCTCTCATTGTCCTGTCTGTGATAGATGTCTCTCATAGTCCTGTCTGTGATAGATGTCTCTCATAGTCCTGTCTGTGATAGATGTCTCTCATTGTCCTGTCTGTGATAGATGTCTCTCATAGTCCTGTCTGTGATAGATGTCTCTCATTGTCCTGTCTGTGATAGATGTCTCTCATTGTCCTGTCTGTGATAGATGTCTCTCATTGTCCTGTCTGTGATAGATGTCTCTCATAGTCCTCTTGTCCATGGTGGAGGCCTCTCATAGTCCTGTCTGTGATAGATGTAACTCTTTGGTAAATGTCTTTCATTGTAGATGTCTCTGTTTTCTGTTAGTATAAGTTATTTGTGTGTGTTAATCTTTACATTTACCCTTGCTGGTGGATAAAACAAGGACTAGTATAGTCAGTATAATGTACATAT